AAGATTTATTAAAAAAAAACCTGGAGAGAGGTTTCATTGAGCCAGCCAAGCCTAAAGTGGCTGCCCCGGTCCTTTTTAGAGAGAAGAAGGATGGCTCTTTACGTTTATGCGTGGATTACAGGGTCCTGAATACAATCAGTGAAAGCAACCTATACCCTCTGCCCCTCATGAAAGACATGTTGTCACACCTATCGAAACGAAAATTTTTTTCTAAACTAGACCTAAGGGAAGCTTACTATCGCGTGAGAATTAAGGAAGGGGACGAATGGAAGACTGCATTTAACTGCCCCATGGGGTGCTATCAATTCAAAGTCTTGCCATTTGGATTACAAGGGGGCCCTGCAGTCTTTATGCAATTAATCAATGACGTTCTAAGGGAGCACCTGTTTAAGGGGGTCCTTGTTTACTTTATCCTTATCTTTACTGAAACAAAAGAGGAACACGTCAACCTTGTCAGAGCGGTTTTAAAGAAGCTGCGAGCCGCCCACCTATATGCCAAACTCTCAAAATGCAAATTCCACCAGGAAAGGATAGACTACCTAGGTTATCGCATATCCCCCCAGGGCATTGAAATGGACCCAGAGAAGGTCAAAGCAGTATTAGATTGGGCACCACCCTGCACAAGAAAGCAACTACAAAGTTTCCTGGGCTTTGCAAACTTTTACCGCCAATTCATCCCCTCATGTGCCCAGATAGCCTTGCCCCTCACTAACTTACTAAAAACGAAGGGAGCATCCTCAGTAAAACCTAGCCAGCCACTAACATGGACAATGGAGTGCCAAGCAGCGTTTGAGAGACTAAAGAGACTTTTTTCTGCCGAACCAGTTCTAAGGCACCCAGATATGGACAAGCCCTTCATAATACAGGCAGATGCAAGTGATGTGGCAGTGGGGGCTGTGCTATTACAAGAAAATGATGATGCAGTATTGCAACCCTGTGCATATACATCCAAGAAACTCACGGAAACAGAACAGCGCTGGCCCGTATGGGAGAAGTAGGCTTATGGTATACGTTGGACATTACTCACGTGGCGACAGTTCCTGGAAGGCAACAAAATCCCCTTCCAGGTGTGGACCGATCACAAAAATTTAGAAGCCCTGAAAACGTCCAGGAAACTCAATCCCAAACAAGCCCGCTGGTCTCAGCATTTTCACCAGTTCCAGTTTAAGCTCAAACATTTACCAGGGAGAAAGAACTTCCTGGTAGATGCTCTATCTCGCATGCCTCAATATAACAGCGCACGAACCACAGACTCTAGACCAATAATGGCAGAGTCACAACTGGCAGCACCAGTAACCACAAGAACCCAAGCCAAATTAAAACCACAACTGGACAGCCAAACTGGAATTGAATTCAGAAAAAGTTTGGAAACAGATGAATGGTTCCAGAAAAACAAAAATGTGTGCACAATGAGAGACGGGTTGCCTTGGGTAGGGGAAAAGTTATATATACCAACAACCCAAAGAATCACGTTCATGCAGCTTTGCCATGACACAAAATCAGCAGGGCATTTTGGATTTGTAAAAACTTTACACTTAATTAAACGGCAATTTTGGTGGCCATCAATAAAAAAGGACATAGAAAGTTATGTTGCCAGCTGCCCAACCTGTGCATCGGCAAAGAGGTTGCAAGGGAAATCGCCAGGGCTATTACAACCAGTGGCAAGTCCCTCAGCCCCCTGGAGGGAAATAGCCATGGATTTTATAGTGGAATTGCCAGAAAGCAATGGGAATACTGTTATCTGGACAGTCACGGACTTATTTTCCAAACAGGTGCACTTTATCCCTTGCCAAAAGATTCCCACTGCAAAGGCCTTAGCAAAACTTTTCATCCAGCACATTTACAGATTGCACGGGGCACTCCAACGCATCATCTCTGATAGGGGAGTGCAATTTACGTCTGCATTTTGGAAGGAATTTTTATCCCTCTTAGGGACCACTCAGGGACTGACATCTAGTCATCACCCTCAGACAGATGGACAAACGGAACGGTGCCATTCAGTACTTGAGCAATATTTGAGATGTTTTTTAAATTTCCAACAGAGTGATTGGACGGACTTATTTCCTTTTGCAGAAGTTGCCTACAATAATGCAGTCCACTCCAGCACAGGCTACACTCCTTTTCAAATAGCCAACGGTCAAAGTTTCAACCCTATGCCAGAGTTAACCCAAACGAACCAACGATCCCTTCACTGAAAGAATGGATGGAAAACCTACAAAACACCTGGCCAATAGTTAGAAAATCACTAGATGAAGCTAGGCAGGCATACAAAGCACAAGCCGATAAAAAAAGGGTTGAGCCTACACCATTCATTATAGGAGAAATGGTGTACTTATCTACAAAATACCTAAAGTCCCTACAGCCCTGTAAAAAACTTGGACCAAAATATATAGGACCTTTTCCAATTAAAAGAATCATAAATCCAGTAACAGTAGAATTAGAATTACCCAAAAATCTCAGGCAAATACACCCAATTTTTCATTGCAGCTTGCTGAAAAGAGAGCATCAGTCACCTCTACGGCCAAAAATCCCCCCCCCACCACCTCCAATCATGGTGGAGGGTGAACAACACTTCGAAATAAAGGAAGTCCTTGACTCTAGGAGATATCATGGAGCAACTCAGTACCTAGTTGCCTGGAAACACCTCCCTGCCTCACAAAACGAGTGGGTCCATAAACGTCATGTCAGAGCCCCGAAGCTATTGAAGAAGTTTCACACAGAGTATCCCAACAAGCCTAACTAACTTTTATACCTGTTTTGTTTTCTTGCAGGTGGATCTCTCTTATTTTTAAGAGGGGCCGGATGTCAGAATCCAATTATATTTCATCTTTAATCATCAAATATAGAAAACCCCAATTCTGCCTTCTCTGGATTCTGCCATAAGAGGGAGAGAAGGGGGAGAACAAAGGGGCTTTATGGCCCTCACTTCCTTCAGTATACTTCTAAGGATTTGAATGTGTTTATTGCAACCTCAAAGAATGTAGTTAGCACCAAAGAACCTTACCATAACAAAGGGGCTATTTACCTTTCATGTAGTTTATCTGAAGTCTCCATCCAGACGGAAGAAAGGAGCAAAGGGGTGGAATTGTGATGCATGAAACTATCACTGGAAGGGGGGGTGATTGGGTGGGACTGCTGGGGAACCCCTTAAAATCTTGAATGGGAGAGCTTGGACCCCAAGTCCTGTCTAGCACGCCTGCAACCACTTCTTCTTAATAAAGGATTCCTGTTGGAAGAATTATTCCAAGAGTTCTGTCTTTTTAGATCATATTCTATCTTGACTGATCAGGGTTGGCTGTGTTGTTCAAAGCAGCCTTAATGACTGCTGTACCTAATAACAACAACAACAACAATAATAAAGTTGGAAGGGACCTCGGAGGTCATCTAGTCCAACCCCCTGCTCAGGCAGGAAACCCTATACCATTTTGGACAAATGGTTGTCCAGTTTCTTCTTAAAAACTACCAGTGTTGGAGCATTCACCGCTTCTGGAGGCAGGTTGTTCCACTGGTTAATTGTTCTAACTGTCAGGAAGTTTCTCCTTAGTTCTAGGTTGCTTCTCTCCTTGGTTAGTTTCCATCCACTGCTTCTTGTCCTGCCTTCAGGCGCTTTGGAGAATAGCTTGTTTTATGTATTGGGGATTCAGGTATCACACAAAGGCACATTGTGAACAACAAGCTTCCTTATTGATCTTCTCCTTACAACCAAGCAGCAACCAAAAGGCATGCAGGCCTTTTATACTGTCCTGAACCCGGACAGCGTCAGCCAATAGGAATCTGGCTGTCTTCACGCCTTGCACATGCACACAAGGCTGGCGACAGCCAGTCTGGTCCCGGGCAGCTTTTGGTCTGCCCGGGACTGTTTGCAACATTTCTGAGCCTGCTGAATGCTTCAGCAGGCTCAGGACACAACAGCTTGATTCCCTCTTCTTCCTGGCAACCCCTGAGGTATTGGAATACTGCCTGAGGGAAAGTAGCAATGACTGCCCAGTTCCTGGTCTTTGTACTTCAAGCTCTCATATAGTTGGAACAACAGAGATGTGTTTAGCATGTGTCCTGATTCCAGGGATGAAAAAAAATGCAACCATCAATCCTTTTTATTACTGTAAGTGGAGAAGTGAGCTAGTTGTCCTCCTTCATCCAGGCAGTCTACATGTCTTGGGCCAGTGCTTGGAAATCTTGTGGATTGAGTTGACCCTGAACTGTAATTAGTAGGGTTTTTTTGAGGTAGAAAATGCATGCTAATGTACATTGTCATCAGGCATTCACATAGAGCAGAGGTGGGGAACGATGGCCCGTTTATGATTTGTGGACTTTAACTCCCAGAATTCTGCTGGCTCAGGAATTCTGCTGGCTCAGGAATTCTGGGAATTGATGTCCACAAGTCATAAAGGGGCCATCATTCCTCACCTCTGACATTGAGGGATGTGTCAGTCTGGTGGAGAGAGAGGGTTGCAACTCCATCAACACATGGGAGCTGCAAGGGTTCCAGTTTACTTTCTGATAAATCTCCAGCTACAGAGAGGAAGTTTTGTAATAATATAGAGTAACATATCAAAATAATCTTTCTGCATGTTTTTTCTGACCAAATCTAACATAATGATAACACTATTACCCTGTTTTTTTTAAAGAATTGAGACAATGCATAATTAAAACATTTAAAACGTATATTTTGCAGGTATATAAAATTTTTTGAATGAAACAATCCTATTTATCATAAATAGACCCGATGCCCTCCAGATACATTAAAATTGTAATTCCTCAAAGGCCAAGCTCTATAAGAATGCAGAGAATCTCATTCCCTGTACATCTGGAGATAAACTGAAGAGATTATCTGTAACTCTCTGCTGAGTATAATGCATGGAGTAGTCCAAACATTCTCTACATTCTCAGTGAGTTAGCTGCTATGGCAAAACAGAAAGAAAAAAAAACCTGCTTTGTAGAAAAAAGATCTGTTCATCTGATTTTAGTTTTCTGTTTTTTCTATATTTCTCACTTCCCAGGATATGTATTTATCACCAACATTCCTGCTGGTGCTACAGATATACTCATTATTGAACGAAGAAAGACAGAGAATATCCTGGGTAAGCAATCTATATTAGGATTACACTGATTAACCTATAGAAAATATGGGCAAGCAATGAAATAGAATGTTGTTCCAGTGCAAAGTTATCTAACAGATCAAAAAAGAGTATGCTTAGGGGACTTCGTATTTTATTTATTTACTCATTTAATGCATGTAGCTTCCAAATGTATGCAACAGAACAATGAATGTTCTTTTAGTGCCAGGTTACCTAACAGGTCAAAAAAGACCCACAACATAACAATAGGCTGCTCACAAACAACAATAAAATCAATAAAAAACATAAAAACTAACAAAGAAACTCCCAGTGCCCCCAACTACATCCCCATATATCCATAACTAAGTTTTCTGAGCTTCAACCACATACATCAGATACTCAGTGGTTCTAGAAAAAGCCAGGTCTTTGAGGTTTTTTGGAAGGGTAGGACAGTAGGGGTTTGTTGAATCTCAGAGGGAACCAAAAAGGCAAGGGGTGGCTACCAAGAAGGCACACTTCCTAGGTCCTGCTGGATAGCAACATTTAAGCGAAGGGACCTGGATTGTTCCCACCTTATCAGGCATAGCAGAATGGGCAGAATACCTTGGAGACGATCTGTGCATTCTGGCTTTAAAGGTAATAACCACCATGCATTCCACCTAGAAAGAAACAGCTCCAGCAGTGGCATAACATATGTCACCTAAGAGATACTCCAAGTGCCGCTTCATTCCAGACCTGCTGTAATTTCTGGATGTTCTTCAAAGACAGTCCCATGGAGAATGGGTTGTTATGTATGCACATGTCCCTTAAAACAGCATTTCTCAGTCTCAGCAATGTTGAGATGTGTGGGCTTCAACTCCCAAAATTCCCCAGCTAGCATAAAGCTCACACATCTTAAGATTGTTAGGTTGAGAAACACTGCCTTAAAGGATTTTCAGACAGTTAAATTGATCGACCCAAAGCGCATAAATATAACTCTCCAATCTTCAGAAGTACAGTATAACAGAGGATTAAAGCAGTACAATTATAGATTTTTTTATGGACTTCATAAATAAACTGCTTTTGAATGTGACTTGTCTACCTTTTTATTCAAGATAGCACCATTTTTCAAACTCCTGTAGTCTGTATCAATGTTTTACAATCCCAAAGTTAACCTAGATATGTGATATTTCTTGATGAATATTTATGGAAGATGGGTGAAGGAGGAAAAGTATATAACTGGGATACCATTAGGTGGTATGCTCATCCAGACTCCCAAAATGTGTAGCACATGTGAGACCCTTCTTGGCAATATATCAAATATTGGTCAGATGTATTTAGCAAAGTTTTAGCAACAACTACCTACAGCAATAACTGCCAGCAGTTTGGCAGTTTGAGTCTCCCAGCTCAAGGTTGACTCAGCCTTCCATCTTCCAAGGTCAATAAAATAAGGACCCAGATGGTTGGGGGCAGCATGCTGACTCTGTGAACCGCTTAGAGAGGGCTGTGAGGCAGTATATAAGTCTAAGTCCTATTACTATTAAAACAGAGTAGTTCAGAAGTAACATACATTCCATATACATAGAAAGATTTTGAGTGTAATTTCCAGCATCTGGCAATACTTTTGCTTAATACATTGGCAGACTTTATATTTATTGGCCTGGCACCAACTTTCAAGACTGCAGAACTATGTAGGTCCTTTTTCTTCTTCTGAGGTGTTGATGGGCATCCCTTTATTGACAAACTATAGGAGTTCATGATCCTTCTTTGATGTCTCCTTTGTCTATGTCAGTGGTGGCGAACCTATGGCATGTGTGCCAGAGGCGGCACTCAGAGCCCTCTCTGTGGGCACATGCGCTATGCCCCAGAGATGGCAACCATCCCTCTTCAAGCAGCTGCCTGCTAACTCGTCAAGGTCCCACAAGGCCAGATGCATCCCGGCACAGCTGGTTTCCCTCCCCCCGTCCCATCCATCCTGGCCTCGCATGCTCTCCTTTTCCCAGGCACAACTCACTGCATCACTTCCTCAGCTGTCAGCCGGCCGTCGAGCTCAGAGGCGGCTTCTCTGAACTGCTGGCAGCGGGCTGCAGAGCCCTAGAGTGCGCCGGTCGAGGAGCCGGCAGGTTGTGGCTGCTGACGGACACTGTCGGCCCCCATGCGCTCGCTGGCCTCTGTGTGCGGGGGGCAATGGTGTCAGGCAGCAGCCGCCCTGGCCTCTGCATTGCCTTGGCCTGTGACAATAGCACCCCAGCCCTGCCTCACCTCTCCTCACCCCACAGGGCAAGTCTCCTGCCCACTGTCCCACCCACCAGAGACCCCCTGGATCTCTCACAACCCTGTCCAGCCCTTACAGGAGTCACTGCCCATGAGCAACATCGAGGTGACCATGCCCACCTTGGCCATACCCACCCATTCTGCCATAACCACCACAGCCATGCCCACCCAGTGGGCACCCGGCGATAAATAAGTGGGTTTTGGGTGGCAGTTTGGGCACTCGGTCTCTAAAAGGTTTGCCGTGACTGGTCTAGCTCCATGTGCTTTTACTTGGGGAATTTGGTGGCAATGAGAACCATTACACTGTGCAAGCTATTGTGGGGTTTTTGCAATGTGGTCTTCTCTTAAAATGCCACTAATGGATTACACTACATCCAGTCACTATGAGTCTACTTCTTCATGGCTGTAAATATCATGGTGAAGAGGTCAGGATAGAAACCCCAATATGCACCTTAGGAAGAGTGCTCTTGAGATCAACAAATAGGCTAAGAAACAATGTGGAACTACGGTACTAGAACTTGGATGTAAACATCTTGATGACCACTAGGTAGCAGCAGGGAGTGGCAGTAAACTCATTGTTTTTGCTGGCATCTACTGGTTTTTGCAACTCAGATCTGTTAAACTTAAACCAGTGGAAATCGTCTTAGGCTGGATTGAGTCACTTGGCTTCCAGTTATGCATATTTAAATTAATATTTGCACACTAGATGTGTTTCATTCTCGTTTTGTTTATGTTTCCCTGGTAGCTCTGGCTGATGATTTGGGGCATTTCTTCTTCAATGGAAATTCTGCTATTGACAATCCACAGAATTTTAGAGTGGCTGGCACCGTGTTCAAATACCGCCGCCCTTCCAATCTACATTCAGATGGTCTGGAATACATTATTGCACAAGGACCCACTAATCAGTCTCTCAACATCATGGTAAATAAGGCAAACTACTGTCTGACTATTTCTTACTACATTTTGCGAGCATCTGGCAGTTAAATAGAACCAGATATCTAATCTAAAATGCAAGATCATTAAACATTTCAAAATTGAATTAACTTCAGACAGGCTAAATCTGTTTTAATCTAAAATCGTTTGGTTTTTGGACTAGGTTTTCACAGCAGTTACACCATGTCTGAGTATATTTCAACAGATCTAATAAATAATCAGTGCCTTGCCTCTAAATTAGCACCTGCAAATAATTTTTTTTTTCTGGATTTCAGTCTCTCTGAAGCTTAGCATATTTATCTCCTCCAGGCTTATTTCAGGCTATGAGGGTTGAAAAGACAAAGGGGTAACAGCCAGGGGGTAGGAGAAGAGAAAGCAAGGAACGGTAATGGATAGAGAGTAAAACTGATTTATTTTAATTGATTATGGGCCATCAAGTCATTTTCAACTTCTAGCAACCACATAGATAGATTTTCTCCATGACTTATCTGTCCTTAACCTGTTCTTTCAAGTCTCTCAACGGTGCACTTATCACCATTGCAATGGAGTCCATTTGCCTTGCTGCTAGTCATCCTCTTCTTCTCTTTCCTTCCAACTTTCCCAGCATTAGAGCCTTTTCCAGGGAATTGGATCTTTGCATAATGTGTTTGAAATAAGATAATCTGAGCTTATTGGTTATTTTTAGGGGTTTATCATTGGCTTTTTTGAGAAAGTTCACTACTGCCTCCTCCTACATAGTTCCCATCTGAAATTAGGTGTACGAGAATCTACACATTTTCTTCATATTTTTAAAAAACATTTTGTTCCATCCCATTTCTGCAACAACTTATTAATTTGCACAGAAATGTATACATAACTGGAGAAAAATCATGTCAAACAGCACAATTAAATACTTCTCAGGTACATTCAGGATAATTTTTTCACCTGTTTTAAACATGTATGTACTAATTCTCTTACACTTAGTTTTTCCAATCAACAACAAGTAGTATGTTTAACAGGCCAACTCCTGCACCTTTCATGATTTCAAATTTTTCAACACACAAACTTTCTTTTATTTCAAACAAACCACCCTTGCTGTCAGATGATTATAAATCTTCTACTGCATGTCATAAATGCTTTTTAGGCTCACAGAGATTGGCTCAACAGCCACTACACCGTATATCATAATTCTCTCCCCCCCCCCGTTTTTATTATTAGCAAAACAAGACAAGCTTTTAGTATCATTTTCAGGCACAGAGATCAATTCAGGCAGTATTTCTTTACAGCAGCCAAGAAAGCTTGACTCATTTTTGCTCACTCTCTTGATTCACTACAATCTTTTTGTACAGTGGGGGGAAAGTAATAATACAAATGCTTGGTTTATGCACAACTGCCAAGAACTTTAAAGTTAACAATGTTCAACCTACTGTGTTACCTAATGGTAATTAAGTCCCTACCTAGAATTAAACAAAGGGGATAATTATACTGGCTGACTGGCATTCTCTCTCAGGCTAGCAAGACCTGATCCATTTCTCCATGTCTTGTTCCATGTCTTCCTGATTCATTGAAGACATCTATTTTGAGTAGAAATATTCCTTTGGCACCACTTCTTCTGAACTTTGGGCCAGTGGAATCAATATGTCTTCAATAGTTCAACACTCCTAACCCATCTTAGGATCAACAGACGTTGATTTTTTTTTCTTTTCCTCAGAAATTTCTCTTTAGCTCTCTAAATACAACAGTTCCCCACTTACCTGTTTTACATTTCCATATTTGTGAGAAAGCATATTTTTTTCTATATTCCCACTTCTACTATTATTCACAAGAAGTTCCAGTAACAAGAGCTGCCACCTCCTCAGCTTCCAGCTTCCACTACTATTGCAAACTCATGTGAAGAATCTTAGGCTGTGACATGTCGCACTTTAGATCAGGACTGGCAGTTTTAATTTGATGAACATATTCGGATTTTAAAGCATGGGTTCTAATAACTTCATGTTCATCTAATCAGAAGTAATTTCAGCTCAGCCTATCCAAGGATAAAACTGTAACAATCGGATGGAGAACTAAGAGGAAATGTTTAGAGGGAATCGTGCTGTTTTTAGATAGAAAATGCAAAGGGCCAGAACGATGCTTCTATGTCTTGCCAAAGTTTGAAATTCACTTCATTATATCCAAACAAACCTTGATGACTACCAGAACTTCCTCTCTCAGATATTGTTGCAGGGAATTTAAGAGGGTGGTTACTTGGCTTGGAAATAAGAATTATCGTATGGTGTGTTCATTCTTGGATTTGTTCCTGATTTCTTCTTCCATTGGGATTTTTAGGAAAGCAAAATTTGGGAGAACAAATAGAGATGATAAAAATGGTATCTTCGAAGAGGTACTCTGAGAGTTCACTTTTAGATTTGAAATCTAGTAGATTTGGGGGCTATGAGACCTTCCAAATAGATGTGCAGAATGTTTCAAGATTGAAATACATTTGATTTTTTAAATCCTATTTTACTAGAAAGGCTGTTCCAAATTTTGTGGAAATGTTCCAGACTCACAATAACATTTTGAATGAAAATTTAGAATTCCAATCATTTTGCACACGGCTACATCTGATTACTATATACCAGTGGTGGCGAACCTATGGCATGCGTGCCAGAGGCGGCACTCAGAGCTCTCTCTGTGGGCACGCGCGCCATGCCCCAGAGATGGCAACTGTCCCTCTTCAACCAGGCACCCGCTAACTCACCGAGGTCCCACGTGGCCGGATGCATCCCAGCATGGCTTGGCTTCCCTCATGGCCTCGCATGCTCTCCTTTTCCCGGGCACGACCCACTGCATTGCCTCCTCAGCTGTCAGCTTCCCTGAACTGCTGCCGGTGGGCTGCGGAGCCCCAGAGTGTACTGGTTGAGGGGCCGGCAGGTTGTGGCTGCTGACGGACACTGTCGGCCCCCATGCACTCGCTGGCCTCTGTGTGTGGGTGCCGATGTGTCAGGCAGCAGCCGCCCCGGCCCCTGCCTCGCCTTGTCCTGCGACAATGTCACCCCTGCCCTGCCTCACCTCTCCTCACCCCACAGGGCAAGCCTCCTGCCCACTGTCCCACCCACCAGAGACCCCCTGGATCTCTCACAACCCTGTCCAGCCCTTACAGGAGTCACTGCCCATGAGCAACATCGAGGTGACCATGCCCACCTTGGCCATACCCACCCATTCTGCCATAACCACCACAGCCACGCCCACCCAGTGGGCACCCGGTGATAAATAAGTGGGTTTTGGGTTGCAGTTTGGGCACTCGGTCTTTAAAAGGTTCGCCATCACTGCTATATACAGTTGCTATGTGAAGAGTCTTTCTCAGAGTTCTTTGGACTGTATTAGAATCTTGCACAATTTAAAAGTGAGAGTAAGCTTGGTTATTTTTTTTCCTTTTTGTTAAAAGTACTACAATTTCAATGGAAAAATGCCACATGTAACATATGACTACACTGTGCCCAGAGCATTGTCAGCAGCTGTTCAGACAGTTCCGCCATCCATCAAGATGCCCCTCTATCTTCACTTACCAGAGCCTAGCCAAAATTACCAAGATGCAGTTTCATCCATTTCTCAAGATTTCAATGCTTCTTGGGTTTCTGTCACAGAGATGACAGACGACACAGAAGAACGTGGGGGCATGTCCTTCAATAGCCGGAACGTCTTCCCAAGTAACTCCACTCCCCAAGGTAAAGAATGGGGCTGGAAGCATGGGCCACAGGAGGACAACCTCAACTTTCAATTCCATCAACTTTATCATACAAGTGAAACAAGTGAAGATGAAGTGACAGCTGAGAAAGAAGCAGATCTGGGTCAGTATACTTTCATAGCTTATTTAGTCAATCATCTACAATACAAGGTTGATGGGGATTGATTGGTGAGATGTGTTTCAAGGACTCCACAGAAACAACTCAGAGTGTTGCTTGCCCTGTATATGTTCTTAACCATGCAACCCTTTGTACTTTTCCATATTCAGGGTTCTTATTTGGAGATGGAAAACTAAAAGGTGGGATTCTTTTTGATAGTCCCATTTTTGACTGGAAAAAAACAAACATGTTTATGTGGAATACTAACATTTTCAAAAATTTAATATTGAAATTTAATTCTCATCATGACTTCAGTGCAGCGTATTTTGATCTAAATCAATGTAAATCTTCTTCTTGTGCCATATCCGTTATCGAACATTGGCGATCATGTTGGCAATCCTATTTTTATCAGCAACTACACAAAAAAGTGCTGCTGAGTTTTGTCCAAACCAGTCCCTTAGATTTTGAAGCCATGATGTTCTTCTTCTGCCTGAACCTCGTTTGCCTTCAATCTTTCCCTGGAGGATTAAATGGAGTATGCCGTATTTTTCTGGGTGTTGCATCACATGTCCGAAATATTCTAACTTTCATTTTTTAATTGTTTTGATGATTTCCCTTGGCTTTCCCCAGTGGCTTATCACCTTCTCATTTCTGATCTTGTCAACCCAGTTTATACATAGCAGCTGCCTGTAAATCCACATTTCAAATGCTTCTAGTCTCTTCAGGTGGCCCTCTGTCAGAGACCAACTCTCTACTCCATAGAGCAGGACAGAAAAAATATAACATCTGACAAACCTGATTTTTAATCTTAGGCTTATGTCGTGACTGCAGAAGACCTTTTTAATTTTGAAGAATGCTGTTCGAGCTTTCTCTATCCTTGTCTTTACTTCCTAGCTTTTATGTAAATTAGAACCAAGATGCGTGATCCTTTCAATTTTTTCTAACGATATTCCTTCTGAATTTATTGGTGGTAAATTAACGGGTTGTTTGCTGACGACTGTGATCTTGGTTTTCAAGGTGTTAAGCTTCAAGCCGTATTTTTCAGATATTTCTGTGACTCTGTTGATGAGGAGCTTAAGGTCTTCATGCTTACTGGTAATCAGAACTGTATTGTCAGCATATCTTAAATTGTTGATCCAAACACCATTTACTTGGATGCCAACATCAATGTTCTACACTGCCTCATTGAAGGTTGACTCAGAGTAGATACTGAACAGCAGTGGAGATAAAATACATCCCTGTCTGACCCCTCTTTGTATTTCTGCATCAGCTGAGTATTTTTGGCCTAGTCTCACATTTGCTATCTGATGCCAATATAGATTCTTTATGATTTGGATGTCTTTGTCATCTAGTCTCACTTGTTTCAGGATTTCTAATAGTTTGTTGTGTCTTATTTTATCAAATGCTTTTTCAAAATCAATGAAGCACATGTAAACACTGTGATTGACATCTCTACAACGCTATACAAGAACTTGAATGCTGAATAGCACATTTTGTGTGCCAAGATTGCTTCTGAAACCAAATTGTGTGTTACCTAGACACTCCTCAATTTTGTTATATATTCTTGTGTGAATTATTCTCAGGAATATTTTCAGGGCATGACTCATTAAGCTTATTGTTCTGTATTAGGTAGACATCTTTGCATTTATTTTGGGGGGGGGGGTGTTGTCACAAAGGTTGATTTTAGCCAATCATTTGGTATCTTTCCTGTTTCATATATTCGATTGAAGAGCTACAGTAAAAAATTCTTCCCATTGTCTTACAGCAATTTTAAAATTTCTACTGGGATATCATCAGGTCCTGTGGCTTTTCTTGTTTTTGCTATTTTTATTGCATGTTCAACCTCCTCCATAGTGATGTTTGGTCCAGTTGTTATACTTCCCATATCTATATCATCCCTAGTGTCCTCAGAAAGTTCTTCAATATATTCCTTCCATCTTTTTAGTTTTTCGTCCTCATCTAAGATAATTTTTCCCTTTGTCAACTGTTTTTTTTTTCTTTTGTGGAGGCCTGCTGCTTCTTTCACTTTTTTGTGTAAATTAAAATTATCATGCATACTGTCTGTCTCTTCTATTTCCTTGCATCTTTTTGCAAACCATTTTTCTTTTGCCAGTCAAATTTTTCTTCTAATTGTTTCCTGCAATTCATTGCATTTTTCTTTGTTTTTATTTTTATAAGGTCTTCTTTCATCCATGAGATGAAGAATTTCCTCCGTCATCCATTGTTGTTTCTTGTAGTACCCCTCTCTCTGTTTTGAATTTGTTACCTCTACTATTGAATTTTTAAATTTATTCCAGTTCACTTCTACATCTTCATCATTCAGGTTGTTGGTTTCTCTTAAATGAATTTCTAGTTCTTCTTTTATCTTACCTCCATGTTTAATGATGAGGTCTCTGTCAATTCTTGGTTTAGCAGGATTCGGGTTTTTCATCCTTTTTAGTTTCAGTTGCACTCCGGCAAGTAGTAGATTATGATTGGATGGTACATCTGCACCTGGGTATGTCTTTACTGATTTTACTGAGTTTCTAAATCTTTTGTTTATTGTAAAATAGTCAATTTGGTTCCTTACTATATTATTTTGTGTATCTGCTGGTGATCTCCAAGTGCAAAGGTGTCTTTTTGGCAACTTGAAAAAAGTATTCATCATACATTGTCTGTGTGTAAATACAATGTAAATACTGATATATATTCAAAATATATTGAACACTAACTTAAATTTACATTGATTTAAAGTCTCTCTCTTTCTGTTTCTCTCTTTCTCTACACACACACACACACACACACACACACACACGTAGACTGCAATTTATAATAATATTACCCAAATCCTGAATAATAACACTTCATAATATTAATTTTGGACCTTGTCAAAGTATAGTATCTCTCTCCTCTTCATTAAAGCAGTCTATCTTTTTGCAGATTTCCACATATGTCTGAATGAAAAGATGCAGCTGATTTATTGAATAACAAAGAGGTGTTATGTTTGCCTAAGGATCAAAGTCCCTTTGTCAAAGAAAGCAACACATATAAGTTGTACATTCAGATTGCATATTCCAAATTAAATTTCAAGCATGAGGCAGATTATATCTGGAACTTTTTTGATTGTATGTTTGTTTGCTTAAATGAAACTTTGCAATTTTTCTATGTAGTCATTAAAGACAGGAAATACCTAAACAGATGCAGAAACTACTGTAGATTATTCATGATCAAATGAGAGTATTCTCAAGTGTTTAGGGGGACAAAATGATTTTAATTGTAGAAAGTGAACTCTGAATTTTCTGGGCCTCTTGGTTCATTTTCATTCCTCTTAAGCCCTCAGACTCAATAAGATTATGATCAGCACAGCTACGCCACATGGTACAGCAAGATTTGAATTCCAAGAAGCCAATAGGATTGGTCCATCTAGACAGCATCTCTTCAGATCACTGTGTCTCCAGGATCCACAAAATGCTGCTTTTTGTAGGGCATTGCATTACATGACAGCCATGCTTGGGAGAAAGAATTCAACAGTCAGGTTGTGGGGTCATGCAACTATCAATTGGCCAGAAGGACTGCCCAAGCAACCTGCAAAAAAGAACTTTCCAGACAAAGTGAATGTCAACCCTTTTGCAGTGAATGAAGCAACCAATGACACTGTCATGGCAATTTCTTCCAACCCTGGTTCCAGTTCCAGGCTTCCAACCAGCTTTGGGAATGAGCAGCTGTCAGAGCCTCTTCAAGGTCCAGGTGCTGAAAGGTGGGAAAGAAAAATAGATTCGGAAGAAAAGGGTTGAATGTTCTAAGAAAAAAAAGCGATGTAATGTAAAAAGAGAGTATTCAGGAGGAACCTTGGCAACAGGGCAAGCTTGGCTTCCTCTCAAATTCTCCATTTGAAGGAGAGCAAACTAAATCCAGTCGTCCCTCAGCCCCAAAATTAATATGCACTACGTACTAGATTAGCCAGAAAAAAACCCTTTCATTTGCTTTCATCATAATTTTCCCAGCATATCTAAGATGACAGTCCCTTTTAAAAAATAAATTATTTTGGAGAAAACATAGATTTTATGTAAATATACTATGATATTAAAAAATTAATTTCACGTGGTTAATGTTTATGGAGATTCTCATCCAGGTCATAGTTATCTCAAAGGTGCTTTTTTCTTGTTTTTCTTTGAAAATGTTTTGCTTCTGATCCAAGAAGCTTCTTCAGCTCTGACTGGATGGTGGGGAATGGAAGGATTTATAATCTTTGCAGACAGTTGGTTTTGCATTCTTTAAGAGAGTCATTGAGGCCACCTGGAGGTTTAGCTATACATTGCATATCTGTACAATGCAGAAACAAAACAACCATTTCATAAATGCATGGCACAACATAGGAGAACAAACCCATCAGGACAAGATTCAGCAGTCCATCTGCATTTAAAAGACAAAGGCCACTCTTTTGAAGACAGCAAATTCCACCTTTTGGACAGAGAGGACTGCTGGTTTGAAAGAGGGATCAAAGAGGCCATCTGTGTCAAAATTGAACATCCTTCTCTCAACAGAGAGGGATACAGCATCATCTATCTCCAGTCTACAACACAGTCTTTTCAGCAGTTCCGAGAAGGCTCCACATCCATTTGCACTACTCAGGTGACCCTGAGAACACAGATAAACTTCTAGGTGGCTTCAACAACTCTCTAAAGGAATGCAAATGACCAGCCGACTGCAACGAGTATAAATCCTTCCATTCTCCACCATCCAGTCAGAGCTGAAGAAGCTTCTTGGATCAGAAGCAAAACATCTTCAAAGAAAAACAAGAAAGTCCAGTTGCCTTGTGAAAAAGCACCTTTGGGATTACACGTGGTTCTTCATTCTTGAATTCAGTTCAATTCGTAGATTGGATTATTTTTATGTATGTGAATATCAGAATTATCAGCCATTCCACTACTCTGGAAGAGGTGTAGTTAAATGCAGAAGGTAGCTTCCTCTATCATTGGGTAATTGCATCAGCTGTGATGTGCTGGTCATTTAGTTTGGAGGTACAGCACTAACACACAGCCTTAGTGGAGGCTGATTGCATACTGGGACAGTAAATCATAGAGATGCAATGGGAACCCTGCTCCACTGGAAAGGCTCTTAGTATTTAAACTGCATCTTTGTTGATACAGTGTGCCCTTTACTTGAAGAACATTTCTCTTAAATGATTAAATTCTCTACAGGCCCTACACTTGTGACAGTCTGTAGATAAAGAAACTGTAGAGAAATAATACATTGCCATCTGGGGATTCCTTTTAACCTCTGTGGAAACCAGGGAAGGACAGCATATTTCCCTTCCTCTAGTAAATCATCCATCCAGAAACTTATACTGAGGGTTTTTTTCCTGCAGCAATGACTTTGAACTGAGTCCCCTTGGCCGTGAGGACATCAGCTTGGCTGACATGTATCGCTGGAAGGTATCAGCCTATGCTCCTTGCAGTTCCACATGCACATCAGGTGAAATGACATGTAATTTTGGATACTAGTATGGGTGGTTTTGAGTCTTGTGAAGGATTCTGCCTTGTGGTCAGTTTCTAGCATATAGAAGGGCCCACATGAGAACTTCTTCAGAAATGAACAGCAGTGTATAGTTGTATTAAATTCTGTTTGCTGTATATTAGTGCTTGTTCTACCTCTGAATGTATTCTTTACTTTAATCCTGCAAAAAAAAAAAAAAAAACAACCCCACCTTCCCTTGATGTTACTTTATTATTATATCAGGTGAAACTTGCAAGCAGTTGTAGGCTCTTAGCATTTACATAATAGAAGTGTGTTATTTGTTTGCTTGTTTGTATCTTGCCTTTATTATTTTTACAAATAACTCAAGGAAGTGAACATATCCAATGCATGTTCCTCCTCCTATTTTCCCCTGTGAGGTGAAATTGGGCTGAGAGAGAGAGAGACTGACTGGCCCAAGGTCTCCCAGCTGGCTTCCCTGGCTAAGGCAAGACTAGAACTCTTGGTCTCCCAGTTTCTAGCCTGGTGCCTTACCGGGGGTTCTCAACCTTGGCAACTTTAAGACTTATGGACTTCAATTCCCAGAATTCCTCAGCCAGCAAAGCTGGCTGAGGAATTCTGGGAGTTGAAGTCCACAAGTCTTAAAGTTGCCAAGGTTGAGAACCCCTGCCTTAACCGCTTTTGTGTTTCTCTTTAGCTTTTCAGTCTAGTCTCCAACACAGCAGGAGCTCTAATGCAGACAGGTTTAATTAGGACTAACATTACGGTATTCTTTTTAATGTCTTTTTTCCTGCATGAATTTTTATTAAGTCTGCATTTGCTTCCACAAAGCGCTTCAGGTTGTGACATGATGATATGATTTTCTCTCGTGCGTGCGTTCTCTCCTTTCTCTCGCGCGTGCTGTCTCTCGCTCTTTTACTCTCTCTCTCTCTAAATTTTATTAAAGGTTTTTTTCAAACAATAAAAGACAAATGTAAAGGAAAAAAATAGCAGAAAGTATAAAAATAGAGTCAAGAAAAGAAAGTACAGAAAGCAAAGAAAAAAGAAAGCCAGGAAAAAAAGAATAAGAGTACTGAAGTCAGAAAAATACGGGATCTCTGACCTTCTCTTCAACAGAAATTAACACTTTTATTATCCAACCTCCCTCCTTAATATTACAAAAATCTCTTTGGTCTCTGGTGAAGTCCTTTTTTATTAATCAAATTCACAAATCATCACTTTTCTCTATTGTCAGCAAAAAGTTCATTAAAGTTTTCCTGTCTTTTAAAAACATATTTATTGTTTTATCTCTCACCAGAAAAGGTCAAGCTTCATCATTTCTGACAACTCCAACTTCTTCACAATCCACTTTTTCACTGTGGGGATTTCAATATTCCTCCATTATTGTGCATACTGTATATTCGCCTTGTGCTGTTACCCTGTCTAAAGTCAATCTTCTGTGATTTTTTTTCTAAGTGGCTATCCACAAGTCCCACTAAGAAAGTTACACAATGTGGTTCTCTTCATTAAGCAATGATCTGCCATAATGAAGCATGTTGTGCTATCCTGAAGCTTCTCACAGTATTCTTGTGAAAGCTGGAAAAAGCTTCTCTGCAGCTCTACACCTGCACAGGAGTCATTTCCAGCTTTAGTGAGGCAAGGTAAAGGGACTCATTTTCACAGCAGAGTTTCCCATCATTTTGGTACCAAAGGTGAACAGTGTACCTTCTACCATCAAAGCAGAAGTAAGCAGCACATCACCTGGCACCCCTTGACCAAGGACTTGGCAAGTGATACCTGAGAAAGGTAGCAGCACCTTCTCTTGCCAAAACCTGGCTAATTATGCCAGAGATGCTTTCAGGGCCTGCAAAACTGCAAAAAAGTGCTCATAGAGTCGTATGGCTAATAAATTCAAACAAATAATAGAAACAAAGAGGCCAGGTTGTTTTGCAAAGCAGACTTGAAAGGAATGTATTGCTTGAAGTTTTGAAGATCTGCACAGTTCTAATTCTTTTCCCAACATTAACTACTACTGGTACTATAGCTTTTGAGCATCGTGTATCCAGTGATTGAACAACTTTAATTATTATATATGTCTGAGTTTCCTTTAGAAAGTTGGGAACATAGTATATACAGTATACTGTTTTAAGTCCAGTACTCTTCAACATCTTCATCAATAATTGGGGGATAGATGGGAAACTCATCAAATTTCCACACCAAGCTGACAGAAGTAGCAAAAACTCCAGAAGACAGGCTTAAGATACAGGAGGATCTGGACAGACTTGAACACTGGGCCCTGTCTAACAAAATGAAATTCAATGGTGAAAAAAGTAAGGTTCTACATTTAGGCAAGAAAAACCAAATGCACAGGTACAGTATAGGTGGTACCTGGCTCAATAGCAGTAACTGTGAGAGGGATCTCAGAATCCTAGTGGACAATCACTTAGATATGAGCCAGCAGTGTGCTGCAGCTGCCAAAAAAAGCCAATACAATTCTAGGCTGCATTAATAGAGGGATAGAATCAAATTCACATATTCAAGTGTTAATATCACTTTATAACACTTTACTTGGAACATTGCATCCAGTTTTGGTTGCCACAATGTAAAAAAGATGTTGAGACTCTAGAAAGAGTGCAGAAAAGAGCAACAAAGATGATTAGGGGACTGGAGGTTAAAACAATAAAGAACAGTTACTGGAATTGGGTATGTCTAGTTTAATGAAAAGAAGGACTAGGGATGACATGAGAGCAAATGTTCCAATATCTCAGGGGCTGCCACAAAGAAGAGGGAGTCAAGCTATTCTCCAAAGCATCTGAAGGCAGGACAAGAAGCAATGGATGGAAATTAATCAAGGAGAGAAGCAACCTAGAGCTAAGGAAAAATTTCCTGACAGTTAGAACAACCTGCCTCCAGAAGTTGTGAATACTCCAACACTGGAAGTTTTTAAGAAGACAACCATTTATCTGAAATGGTATAGGGTTTCCTACCTGAGCAGAGGGTTGGACTAGAAGACCTCCAAGGTCCCTTCCAAGTACTCTACTCTACTCTACTCTACTCTACTCTGTTCAGTATATTCCTGTCACCCATCCAAAGTAGACCAGACTAGGAAACAAAAGTCAGCAAGTTGATATTACTTTTATTATAAGGTTATAGTGACAGAATATTGCAAGTCTGAAAACGCTTCTTTTATCTTTATGAGGACTAGGAAGGGTCTTTTCTGAGATGCTTTCTCAGATTACAGTCCTGGCCCAGACTCCAGTTTCTTTCATCTCACCACTGTCTTAATAAAAGTTCTTCCTCCTCTTCCTCAAGATTATTCTTTCTGCCCATTTCATCTCTTTATGAAAAAAAGGATGTGCTTTCTCATACAGCAGGGAGAGATTATCTTTCTCCCTTCTGAAGAAATCCCAACTTTCTCTCTTTTCATGAGGCCTAAGATATAGGGATAGACTGTCACTTGCTGCTGCTTTGGACCATAGTTGTTAGCGAAGCACTTAATCCTGTAGGGCAGCTAATGATGATTCAGCTTTGCTGTGCATCCAGGGATCAGCACCTCCTATGCTATGTGTGTCCGCTATGATGGAGTGGAAGTGGAAGAAACCTACTGTGATGCATTGACTCGTCCTGAACCCACCCATGAATTCTGTTCAGGCCGAGAGTGCCAGCCTAGGTGAGTGGAAAGAGCCAGTTCTTTTGAAGGCATTCTGGAACCCTTGTGATGTGCAGTTGTAATACTGAAATTAAACTCTGTCGCTTAAGCTTGTAGAAGATAATGTGAAATATATTTTTGTCCCTTTTGTTCCTTGTGGAAATGCAAATGTATGAAAATTGCTATGGAAGTTTTAAAGGTTTTGAATTTTGAGGGAAAAATTCTTTACAGAGCAGATAGAATTGCTCCTACATAGAGAAAAATGAGAGACAACTATAATAGATCTTTATGGAAGAATCTTTGATTTAGGAGTCTGTATAGATCCTTAGCCAGTTTTATTGTTTATTTTTTTCTTTGCATTAAATTATGCCCAAACTGCTTTTCCTTTCTCTTGCCATTGCTTACTGTCTGAAGGTGGGAGACCAGCCAATGGAGTGAGTGTTCAAGAACTTGTGGTGAAGGTTATCAGTACCGAATTGTGCGCTGTTGGAAGATGCTGGCTCCAGGCTTTGATAGTTCAGTCTATGATGACATGTGTGAGTCAGCTGGGCTAACCAGGCCTATGGAACGGAAATCATGCAAGAACAAAGTTTGTGGCCCGCAGTGGGAATTGTCAGAATGGTCTGAGGTATGTTGCTCTTGAACTTGCACAAAATTAAGATAGTTCTTTCCAGATGTTTTGAACTCTACCAGTCCCTTGCCATTAGTCATGCTGGCAAAAGTTGATAGTGGTTGATGTCCAAAACATTGAGAACATGAAGATGCTTATGCCTGATTTTCAATGTGGCTTTAAGGAAACAGTTAAGTGTGCATCTCTTCAGAGATGCAACTGAATGTCTCTTTTAGACACCTGTGTTTAGAAACAAGTGCAGATAGGGTAAAAAGATGCACAAAAGGACAGGGTACCAGCATCCTTTCTTAGCTGTGCAGAGGAAGAAATGTTAGCAGATATACTTTATCATGAAATTTTCATCCGATAGTAAAAGTGCAAGAGTCCTGCTCTCTTATACTGTATTTGGCCATTGTTATATTTTTCCTCTTCCTTAATGGAAATGGAATAGCCTCTTCCTTAGTAGGCTAAAATCTATTTTAAAAGAAGGGTACCAGTTGTTAGCCTTTAAATTAAAAAGTTGTATAATATTGGCCGCATGATGGTCTCAATGTTTTGTAGAGATGGTCCTAATCCTGGGTCCACACAAGTTGTGGCAAAGCAGTATGAACTGCAAGTGTGAGGACCACGGTATTATTATTCATTTAAATTTTCCAAATACATAAATATCTTAGCTAATGTTTGGTATAAAATATTGACCTGGCAGAACTGTTGATTAAAAGAAGGAAAAACTACAAGCGCCCAATCCTACTCCATTCTTCCTTTAACGAATGCAGTAGCTTCAGAAAGCAGTTTCATTTTTGGAAAAAATAGAGCAACAAATGACTGTGAAGATACATTATAGAACCTTACTTGTAAAAAACCTGTTTGATCCAATATGAACTTCAAATATCACAGTGCAAGGCACTGGTATAAATTATTTAAAAAAATTAGAGCTAGAAAAACTACTAGCTACTCTCACCCAGCTCTTGTTCTTGGCAAGTTGGAAGTCAGGCACAATCTGTCCTGTCCCAATTCACACAAAGAGCACTCGGAAGGTATTTAGTATGTTTATTTCACAACTAACTCCCATGTAGCATTCCCCCAAAACCCCAAGTCAATTTCCCACAATTTGTGGGAGTTCAAGAGTAGTGACTTCAGTGACCAAATACCTTCCAACAAGGGCACCAGGAGTTTACCACAGAGCATGACTAACAGAGGCAGTCTGACACCTGAAGCACAGGCAATAATAAGGCAGCCAGCGGGCTGCAAAGTAGTGAGGCTCGAAGGCAAAACAGAGAAAAGTGGCTGAGGGGGCAAACCAAAGAGGATACCAACAGTTTGGCTTCAATGGTTCCAAAGGAAATTCTCTCCAAATCCAAATCCGAGTCCCAGTAACAAGGTCAAGGCAATGAAATAGTCTTGAATAAACTTCATGAACTTTGGCCAAGGAACAAGGCACTGAGATGAAGCAAAGGAACAAGGCAAGAATCTGAAGACATTACAACGAAAAACAAACAGTTGTTTCCGACAACCAGCCCACTCCCTCTGCTCGCTTAAGTCAGTCTTAACCAGTGCTTCTTATTAGGAGGGTGAGGCTGCTCCTCACAAGTAGCCTCACCACCTCTGCTGTGCCTCTCGTCCTTCCTCTCTCCTTGTCTGCAGATTGGGGTGGGGGCAGCAGCTGTTCTTCATCAGAGTTGACCTGCTGCCCAGTCTCTCTCTTTTCTGCTTGCATGGGCAACTGCTCATCCGATCAATCACTCATCCACTTCCCAACGTTCCTGGGACTGCATACCCTTTCTGCCACACAGCTCTCCGCAGACGCCCCATGTTGCCCCTTTCTGATGGTCCCAGTTCCGGCTTGTCCTCTTCATCGGAGTCAGCCTCTGGCGGGGCCATAACACAATCTTTGGTTTGAATTCAAATTGGATGGTGTTATTTTTCCTAGTTTGGCTGAAGGCTTGAGGATCAAGAGAGTTAATGCTATAGTAGTAAGACACTGAAGATTAATTTCAAGAACTTGGTTTGAGATCTCATACCAGGCCTTTTAGTAGATGTACCTTCCTGCTTCTATCAGATACATTTTATTTCACCTGTGATACCAAGCTTTTTGTCTGAAACTGAAGACAATTGACCTTGCTAATAAGAGAAAAGAGGGGGGGGGAGCTAACATTCAAGGGAAAATTTAGACAAAAAGTTATCATATAAAATTGAACTAGCATGGTTCAAGAGGACTGCACTATTCCGGGAAACAGGGATATCCCAAATTCCATTTTGACAGTAAATTGCACAATAATTATGGGTCCTGAAAATCTGCTGCCTGAAGCACCTTCTTCATTCTGCCTTTTTCAGGAAGGCATGTATTACTTGAGTAATAGTCATAATATGTGAGTATAGCAGGGCAAAAGAAAATGTGACGGGTAAATTTGGTGATAATGTGATTTTATAACTTTACCTTCATCATTGCTGGCACATGCCATGATCGTTTGTCTCTTCTGGTTCCCACTTCTTTACAGTGTTCTGCTCGGTGTGGCAGTCAAGGGACAATGCGAAGAGAAGTGCGTTGTTCGGTCAAACCCAAACTGTGCAATCAATCTACAAAGCCTGTAAATGAGAAGGAGTGTTTAGGTCCTCCCTGTGACAGGCACTGGGCTGTTTCTGACTGGGGACCGGTGAGTCAAGGTTGATGTGTGTGTGTGTGTGTGTGTGTGTGTGTGTGTGTGTGTATGTTTTATTAGAGTCTTTGTGGAGGGGTTGGGAATGGGAAATATTCTAATTAATTTTAGAAAGGCATAAAGATGGCCTTTAAGAAAATACTCAGAAAATTCCTAAGTCTGGGAAGGAAGATAGTATTAAGGAAAGATGCGGAAGACTCCTTCCTATTTCACTAGAGAAACATAATCAAACTTGCAAGAGTCCATTACTGTAGCTTATATCAATTCTAGTCTTCCTGTGGAATCAGTTTCATGATCTGGCTGATACTAATTCTAGTCTAGAATAGAAAGTGCTTGTATGTTTTCTGAAATTATTGTAGAAATCATGAGGCTAGAGGCATCCTTTCAAAAATAAGTGAAGATTCTGTGAAGACCAATTTTGCATGTCTAATACTATATATTTGTCCAGAATTTCAGTATTAAAATGTTCCAAAGGTCTTAGAATTATATCATATATTGCTCCATCTAGATCAAAGGCTACTTACTAAATCCAGTTACTTTGAAAAGTCTCATTATTTCTTCAAGTGCTCAGGTTTGTGTGGTGAGGGACGGATGAATCGCTTGGTCACCTGCCGCAATGTGGAAGAGAAGCTGATCTCGGAGTCCCAGTGCAATCCCAACACTAAGCCCCTGGCAATCTACCCCTGTGGAGACAAGAACTGCCCTGCCCATTGGGTTGAGCAAGAATGGGACCATGTGAGTTTGCATCTGTTCACACACCTCTGTTCTTAGAAAAGACACTGGAAGTTATTGACGTCAGCCCAAAATCAAATTAAAAAATTGGCTCCTGTTAATGAGAGATTCTGCTGGCTAATTTAGAAGCTCTTCAGAGTGTTGTTTTCATCTGTACTTCCATCATGCAACTTCCAAACAGGGATTCAAATAGCGGGTTCTCCTTTTGCTGTTCTCTCAGTTGGGAGTTGATGGGGGCAGATTTTGGCTTGTGTCAGCTCCCTGACCACGGATGGTCTGGGAGATAGTGTAGCAACTCCTAAACAACAACTGGGAGATATAAGAAGGCTCTATAAAACTCATATGCTTATATGGTCCCTTTGAGCTGTTCCTAGATTGACATTCAGTGTTAAGCCACCTATCTATTTCTAAGCCATCAACCCAGACATACAAAAGGAACAGCCAGTAACATATGCAAAGAATTTGTAGAAAGATCACGATTCTTCTCATTTTTACCATTCGCCAGCTTAAATCAGTTCTGCCTCCCTTTCTTCTTTTTCTCATTCGCCTACCCATCAGCTGGTAGCTTAGGAGAAACAAACTTCTTTTGCATGGGAAATACTCTTTATTCTGCATTACTTTTACCTAACTTAGTTTTTCCTTTCCAGAGTAAAACAAACATCTAAACATGAAAAATAAATAAACAAGAAAAAAAAATGTAATCTTTAGCTTCTTGAATGGCATGAAGAGGTAGATATTCTTTTAAAGATGAATAGTTTATTTTTTCCTTTTGCAATATCATTAAACATAATTTCGAGATACATATATACACAAAATAGAGAAAATACAAAAAAACCCTACTACAGTGTAAATGAAACGTCAACTACCATACACGTGAAAATTTGTCATAAATAAGCAGTACACCAGGTTATTATTGTAATTAAAATTACAGTAATACCGTAAATGCCGGGGTACAAGGCGACCCGGCGTATAAGACGACCCTCGTCTTTATAGCCGGGCCGCATTCCTAGAACGTTGTCTTATACGCCGGAAACTACCAGTATTTCCGGCGTATAAGACAACTCGGCGTATAAGACGACCCCTGTCTTTGGCGCCGATTTTAGCGCTCGCGGAAGTCGCCTTATACGCCGGCACTTACGGTAGGTAAATTTTATAATTTACCTATTCAGGTAAATTATAAAATTCAACCAAGTTTGATAAAATTGTGGTTCCTGCATCTGAAATCTCATTACTTTAACTTTGATTTTGTCATTTTTTTTTCTAATGTGGCAATTAAAGAAGCTTTACTAATTCACAACTCAGTTTATATATTATCTACAGTTTTCCAGTTTTCCTTAAAGAATCTTCTATACCAGAGTTCCCCAACTTTTCTGACCTTGGGAACTGGGGGGGGGAGAGGGGAGCGTGAGCATCAGGTGAGAGCGCACACACAGTACTATTTCCACAAGTGGGGGGGGGGCATGCACACCTGCCCCTTGCGCAAAGGGAGTACACGCACAAGCACTCACCCGCTACTCATGCAAGTGGGAATGCGCACACTCACCACCACTTCTGTAGCCCGGTTTTGAACTGCTCAAGGCCTGGCAGTGGGCCACAGCCCGGGGGTTGGGATCCCTGTTCCATATATTCTAAGGGGAGGGGTGTGACTTCCTGAGATTCCTTCTTCCCCTCATCAGCCTATAACCTCCCAATTTTAATTACAATAATTCCTTAACTATAGTTTTACCTATGTTAGTATTTGATATAGTTTTCCCTTATTTATTTAACTCCCTCCTTTTTCCCTTTACTCTAAACCTGAAAATTTTAAAAAAAGGAAAACAGTCTATATACTTTCTGTTTCTCCATATCTCAATGCACTGTTCCCATCTAATCTTCCCCTTGTAATTGAGCCCGCTTTCGACAGTTCCAAGGATGAATCGTAGTTTTCTTCCTCTCTTCTTAGAAAGCTTTGTCAACCAGCTCTGCATCTCAGTTGAAATTGAAATAACTTTCTGTCCTTGTAATATAAAAACAATTCATTTGAGAGGAGAGTCCCGTTTGTATTGAACCTCATTCTGCATAGTTTTTTTCTGTAATTCTTTTCTTTGCTGCAGTGTAACTATGCTGATATCTTGGAAAAAGAATATTCTCCAGTCCATCTATTTTTCTCATAATTTTATTTTTTTATATTTGGGTTCACAAATCTATAAAATGACTGTAGGTTTCTTCTGTGTGTTCCTAGGAGAGTAAATCTGGTGAGCGTGTTCAATGTCTTTATCCATTAAGTTCGTACTAGAGCTCTGGTAATTAATTTTAGAGATGAGAGAAGTAGTCAAATTTGTTTGTTCTGCTTTACTCTGCCACTCCTTTAATCCTTAAATTATTTCTCCTGCCACGATCCCTTAAATCTGCCAACTCAATCTTTGTTTTATTTATTTATTTCAAAAATACTCTTTTGAGCCGTCTCTCTCTCATGAGTATTATTTGTAGCCATATCATAAACATTGCTGGCTTTCAGAGCAATACTTGCTATTTGCATTTTCTTATAGTATTTATTCATTTGGTCTGCCAAGTCTTCAGATACTCATACAGCATGTTTGTCCAATTCTGGCTTCAGTTCTTTTTTTTAAAAGTTGTTTTATTAGCTGTCCAATTATGTCCATATCAGACGTCCATCCTTGGCCCTGCAGTGATCTCCTCCATTGCTTCTTCTTCATTGCAGAGAACCGTCTCAAGCTCCTTCAGGTCTTCCAAATAAACTTTAAACCCCTTTCCATTGAGCAGATTATCTTTCCCAAACATTTTGTTTACTTATTTCACTATTTGATAAAATAAGGGAACCTGGCTATGTTTAAGAAAATAGCTGGATCAGGAAAACTCAGCACGCCATCCTGGTCAGTGGTTAGCCACGCCCAGATGTATAGTAAATCTTTTTTTTTTAATTTTTATTTTAGACCAACAAAACAAAACACAACAAAACATTACACACATACACACGTAATATATCCTTCTATTCTTTACATTTCCCCCCTCATTCTTCTTTGAAATATTTGTCCTTATTGCCCCATTGTTTCTTATTTACGTTTTCCTTCTTTCATATTCTACTACTTACTAGGAACCCAACATTATTCATTGTAGTAATTCTCGTATTTTTTATAAGACTCAACCGGAATTCCATCTAGGCCTGGTGATCATATGTATAGTAAATCTTACTCTGATCTAACAGCATTGGAATTTGGACTATACAGGTAGTCCTTGACTTATGACAATTCATTTAGTGACATTCAAAGTTACAATGGCACTGAAAAAAAGTGACTTATGACCATTTTTCACACTCACGACCATTGCAGCATCCCCATGGTCATTTGATTTACATTTGGATGCTTGACAACTGACTCGTGTTTATGACGATTGCTGTATCCCGGGGATCATGCCTTTTGCAACCTTCTGACAAGCAAAGTCAATGGGGGAGCCAGATTCCGTTCCTAATTTAACAATTGCATTGATTGACTTAACAAATATGGCAAGAAAAGTCATAGAATGAGGCAAAACTCACTTAATAGATTTCTCACTCAGCAACATAAATTTAATTTGGGCTCAGTTGCTGTTGTAAATCGAGGATTACCTGTATTAGGGTTACTGTTGTCGTTTATACAGTAAAACCCTTGCATTGTTAAGCCCAAACCCACTGTATTTTGTATTAATTCCTGGCAGCCTTCCAAATGGAAAGAATGAGCCCAATGTGGGTTTGTAGAGGCTGTTGCTTTTTAATGCAGATGAAAAATGGTGTTTTGTTTTCTCCACTGCAGTGCAATGCCACATGTGGCCGAGGTGTCAAGATGCGGACAGTGCTGTGTGTGGGATTAGAAAAAGGCCTGTACAAGGAGTATCCTGAGAAGCGCTGCGAGGCTTTTCCAAAGCCAGAAATACAAGCCCCATGTTTCCAGAGACCTTGTTCCACCTGGTTTTCAACCTCTTGGTCTCAGGTAGATGGAGAAGCTATGGCAACCTGGAGAGGGGAGGGAGCTGCTGAAGTGTGGAACAGGATTGGAGGGAAGTGGCAGGGAAGATCACCCTGAACAACTCTTAATAGGAGAAAATAGAGGCGCGGGGCAGGGTGGTGGTTGTTCTCTGTTTCATCCATTGAGATTCTCAGCATTGCTTTCCAAAGTCCAGTTTGTAGATACCACCTTTCTGAAAACCATTATGGCAGTGCACAACATTAAAAAAAATGATTATAGAACATTAAAAAAAACCATCACAAAATACGATAAACATTTATAGAATGCTAAGATTAAAAAATGTGGCTTTATGCTTTGCAAAAGTGCCTGGGGATTGATTGCAACTGTAAAAGAGAGCATGCCCTCTCGTTTGGTTGTGAGGTACAGTATAGCCCTTTTATTTGCACCTGGCAAATTGTCCTGTGCTCTCATTACATGAGCTGAAGGGTATCTGTAACCGGAGACGGATACAATTGCCTAAAGAGGTGTCCAGGACAAAGGTAACCCTTGTTGGATCAGGAAAGATAAACATAATTGGACAAACCTATAACTTGCCACTGCTGCTACTTGAAGATGCAGCATTCAGACAAAGTAGCTGTGCAAACATTCCTGACCTTGGTATATCTAAAGAGGTTTAAATGTGGCCCCAGTATTGGAGCAGTAAATTAATTTAATTCATTTGGCTTTGTTTCATTTCATTGCACTTGCAATCTTTTTTTCTGTATTTTTTCTTTATTGATTTTAATGTAATGCCTTTGTTTGATTGTTGTGAGCCACCCAAAGCCATTGGGTGGCACACATTTAATAAATTGTTATTATTATTAAAATTAAAATCTAAAGTATGAAATCACACTGGTAAATGAAGCATTGCTACCATTTTCTAATTTAACTTGGGTATCCATGCTTGCCCAAAGTGACACCATTCTTGAGGATAGTGGGATTTCTTTTTATGCCCTTCTTCTTTTGGGTTGAGCTTTACGTCCATACTTTGTCCGAAAGGAGAACACTTTTCTCCCCTCCCCCCCCAATCCCTTGCAGTGCAGCAAGACTTGTGGCACTGGCCTGCGTTTCCGTGAAGTGAAGTGCTACCAAGGAGAAACCTTAGGCCAAGGCTGTGAGTCAGCATCCAAACCTGAAGCCAGGCAAGCTTGCCAGTTACAGCCGTGTCCCACCGATGCTCCAGGTAAAAAGCCACCTGTCAGGGGCTCTAGCTTAAGGAAGTAAAAAGTATTGCCGCTCTTGAACCAACAGGGCCCTCGGGGAGTGAGCTGTGAAGAAGCAGACAGAGCCGTAAATCCAAGAAATTAGTGCTAGGATCACTTGTGATGCTAAAGCATGATGTGGCTATCTGGTTAGTTTGAAACTTAGTGCAATGGGCTGAACCCAGTTTGTGAGTAATAGAAATTGGAGCTGCCAATTTGGAGCTGCCAATTTCTGAATCCAGAAGGCACACAGAAAGAGATAGGAAAGACCACTATGCTGAGAGGCTTAAAGAAGAGGCTGGCTCACAGGAGGAAGATAAAAGGAAAAAGTGGAGAAAGAGAGAAGATGAAAGAGTGTGTGTGGAACTGCAGACATAAGGAAAGTTGCATGCACCGTATCAGTGGAAGCCAGCAGTATTTTTGAAATACCAGTTAATATTCTGCTGAGGTAGCCCAATTGCAAAAGGATTCAGGTGACCCACCCTCTATCTAACCTTTGTGCTATGTTTCCCCTCCACAGACGAAGACTGTGACGACAAAGCAACAGCTAATTGTGTGTTGGTCCTGAAAGTAAAGCTCTGTTCACACTGGTATTATAGAAAGGCTTGCTGCAGGTCTTGTAAGGGCAAAACGCCCTGATCTGGCTCCTGCTTCTTCCACTTCAGAATAGGAAGCATTCTCAAGAGGGAAATTTGATGGAGACCTGCCTTCTCGAACAGAAAGTGCATGATCCTTATTGGACAGTCCAGAACATTGGTCCACTTACTAGAATGTTGCTGTAAAAATGACTCTGATTACAGGCCTTTTTGTTAGGAGGCCTGCTCCTATATATTGTGCAGGTGACCTAATAATCAGGCTCCATGATGCTATCCACGGGCATTTTGTCATGCTAAGTAATATTAAAAATATTAAAATCTCTGCTTCTCATTTCCTTGAATTCTTGGGACTGGATGCATCCCTGACTGAATTTGAATTTCAGTGGCATCATATGAGACTGTTGGGAAGCTACACACAGCTTGGGATGTGCAAATCGTCTGTGTTGCTTTAGCAGTCCCCTGATAATGATGCCATTTCATCCTTTTATATATCTAGGTGAATTCCACTCTTGACAGGTATGTCATGTTTTAGAGAGTGTTTCTCATCCTTTGCAACTTTTAAGATGTGTAGAATCCCACAGCCGGCATTGGAGTTGAAGTCTACCACATATTAAAAGCTGCTGAGGTTGAGAAACACTGTATTCCCCTTTATGCACTGCTTCTTTTGGTTGAGCTTCACATCCACACTTTGTACCAAAAGGTCCATACATAATTTTAGCATATTCACTTACATTAAGATATAACATGAAATCCAGCAAATCCAGCAGTGGGCAACCTAGTCTGGTCCAAGCTAGTTTCCGACTGTGTAACCAAATGGCTATAGGAGAGCCCATGTCAAGTATAAAGCAACAAAAAGTAAAATGTTTTTTTGTTTCCTGCTGACTTTGCAGGACACAACTTTGCAGTTTTCTTGCCAAGTGGGTTACCACTATCTTTTTCTGAGAAGTTTTCCTATTTCTCAGTCTATCCTACAGCCTTAGTACTCCTCGGTCATCTTCCATCCAAGGACTGATCAGGGCCAGTAGCTTTTCTAGATTGACCAGTTGGGTAGATTGCCCCTACACAATCCATTTTCTTCCTTATATAAGGATCCAAGTGGCAAAGAGGCTGACATCAGAATTTGAGAGGAGGGGAAATTTTCAATGGCCCTCTGAAAGTCAGAAAAAGATGTTAGTTTAGGACAGGGGTCTTCAAACTTGGCTCTTTTATGACTCATGGACTTTAACTCCCAGAATTCGTCAGCCAGCATGCCTGGCTGAAGAATTCTGGGAGTTGAGGTCCATGAGTCATAAAAGGGCCGAGTTGGAAGACCCCTGGTTTAGGATGATAATCTGGGCCTTCTAAAAACATGTACAGTGACAGACATAACTTCAGTTATCTTGCTGGGTGGTAGTTGGCAAAGGGTGACAAATAGCCTTTGCCTTCATGAGGAGGGGTGGATCCTTGTCACCCTTAAGATTGGTTGCATCACTGCATCGTACAAAGCCATTTTTGCCGCTTCAGGTCTTATGCAGTTAGATGTACAGGCTTCCTGAGGTTCTCTTGTGACAAAAGCAGTCAAACGCATAATGGCCTTCTTTCACATTTTACACGTGACAGTTCTTTATTCTGAAACCAGATCTGGTTGAAAGCTAAAGGACTCTGAGAGGAGAGAGTAGGGACCTTCAGCTGACCTATCAAGAACAGACTGAGTAGCATTCCCATCACCTGTTCATAGTTTTCTCCACTGTGGAGGAAGGTATTTGTTTTGTTTTGTTTTTAATTTTACTTATGATTCCTTCTAAAACTGTAGTAGGCACATTTCATGGAAACCTGTGCTGTCTTTTTATAATGCATGTCCTGGTTTTTTGACAGTGGAAAAAATACTGCAAGAGTAGTTATTGTATTATAATGGTGTTTTCATGGTGCCTCTTTGTTCTGGTTTGCCTGGGGCATTAGCATTAGATCTTTGGGAACTGGACTAACAGTAACAGGGGAAACCTGCTTTAGGCTTTCCTGTCTGCATTTTGGTGTACGTAAAACTGACCTTAGGGATTAGGAAGGAATGAGTGCCATTAAGGAGGGGCCTGCAGAAAAGATTGCAGAGTCTTGAAAAAGGAAAGTGCAAGAAAGAAACGCAAAATAGACCTCCCCCTACTTGAATTTGTATAGTATAAGCTGGGACAAAGAGATAGTTGGACATAATTTCTGTCTCTCTACCTTGACTCCAATAAAGAGCTTTCATTTAATTCCTGCCCTGTTTCTTGATCTGATCTACCTTGAAGGCTTGGGTTCCTCATGGTATCCCAGTAATTGCACAATTTTCCTGACCTTGCCATGATGCCATTGCCAGAGTCAATGACTGAGTGGCCTTAAAAAATGGATGGATGGATGGATGGATGAAATACCAGGTTTGTAGGGAGAGACGCCTAGGAAGATCTATTCAGTTCTTTTCCAGATTAAAACAAAGATCAACTTTCCTCAGTGTACTAAATAAATGGGAAAGGACTATGTTAAATCTTTCTTCTCAGTTGGACAGGTTAAGAGAAGATCACTTGGTTAAAGCACTGTAGGAATTTAAGGCAACTAGTGTATCATAACATTAAGCATCAGAAAAACAGAGGACTAAGATTAAAGTAATTAAAACAATGGCAAAAAGTAAAAATAAATAATAGTGTTTTATTTTTTGCCCCATTTACTAATTTGCCACTTCCTTTTCTTCTAGCACCACAAAAACACTACTGAGAAAGCCAGGCCCTCCTTGCCATTCATCTTCTTTAAAAAATAAATAAATAAAAGCATTTAGAGCAGAACCATCCATTCTGATGTGGCAGGCTGGATTGCATGGGAAAAGGCAATGCTATAGCTGCCTTGGTCCCAGGCCATTTGGAGCTGGGGACTGGGGGAATTTAAGGATTTTGAGTTATATCTGGAACCAGTTGGATGTCAGTGTGCAAGTTGTTCAATAGATGCTCCTCCTGCAGCAGTCTAAAGGAAGATAATCCAGATTTTTTCCAGCTTGCTTTCCATTCAGGGTCCTCTTTGGAAGGGCTGTCAGTCCCTTTTCATCACTTTCAAGTGAACCTAGGCTGATGAAGAAGAGGAGGTTGCATACTTCAAACTAAAGGTGAGCAGTAAGTTTTCCCACTTGTACAAAAATGCCCATCATTAAATAAATAAGTAGCGCCATAGACAGATAATTAAGCACAAGTCTGTTTCCTTGCTATCTTAATTCTTCCCCAAATAAATATAGGATTAGGGTTTTTTTGTATATACAGCTAATCTGCAAAAAAAAGAGGAACCACTGTAGTCAAAATAAATTAGACTCCTATGTATCTGAGTTTTTGATTATTAGAACATGGTGTTATGGACAATCAGTCCTATAAAGATTTAGCTGCAGCTGATCTTTCACCTTACATGAGAATGCATGAAAAGTTCAACTAGGAATAGCCCCCTAGTGCAAATTTACAATTATGGATACTTGCACCTGGTGATGGTATTTAGCCTTGTTAGAAATATGTCTAAATCGTTTTGAAAATCTGCTCATAGAAAACCACAGGTATAATGGGTTTAATGGTTTTGGCCATGGTTTTTAGGCACAAAATAAGATTAAACAACTACTATGTAGTACAGTGTAATTTGGGCAAAAACATCCATATGGGAAACTGCATTCCTAAATGGCTTTTAAGCAACAACATCTAAAACCATATGTTGACTATAATTCTATCATATAGTCAGGTGTCATTAGCAAAATTAAGAAGTTTGTTTGGGCAAATAGCCACTTACTAGAAAGGAGTACAAATGTGGTGTAGTGATTAAGGCATCAAACTACAAACTGGGAGACTCTGAATTCTAATCCCATTTTAGATTTAAAGTCAACTGGGTAACCTTGAGCCAGTACCTCTCTCTGAGCCCTAAAAAGCAGGGAAGGGCAAACCTCTTTTGAAAAACCTTGCCGAGAAAATTGCAGGATGGAGCCAAAAACTGACTCAAAGGCACAACAAAGAAAAGAAAAGAAAAAAGACAGGAGTTCTCATTGCATTGGATTGAAATGCTACCTCTTAAATTAAGGTTTCCCAGTGTCATCTCAACCCTGGAGAAATAAACAGCACATCTCAGCAAAAGTACAAAGAAGGTGTGTCCAGGTGGTAAGGGACAACTGAAAGGTGTGGCAACATCACACCTTCCAATCTGTCGTTTAGGAACATCAACCAAACAGGTCTAAGAAATTCAAAGCAAGGCAAAAACCTTCCCTAAGTTAACAGAAACAACAGGATTTTTTCCAGCTTGCAGAACAATGAAATTTACACAAAGTGTAAATGATGGGCTGCCAAGCAAAGCAAAGCAGAAGCAGGCAGCCTATGTGAATCTGGAGTTAAGGGATGTGCTTCAGGGCTATGGCAACCATTTTGTGTGTAAAACTTTTTGAAAATCTAGGTGTGTGTATCCTTGCAGCCCTAAATTCCAGATCTTCCTCTGATAATAATCTGGAATCTTCTGAGGGCTGTTTTACTGCACCTTAGTGACTTCTAAGGTTTTTTCTATGCCCAATGAAGTTTTTTTTCCCTTTCTTTCAGATTTGTCACTGGAAATCTGCCCCTTCCTGATGTGTAGACAAAATATAAGAAAATAAGCATATAATACTTTCTATCCCTATGGAGTATTTGTTCCCTTGTTGTCTGAGCTTTGTTGTTTGAAGTATCTGCAAGAAAGCAACCAAACTCAAAGAGCACCAAGGACTTCACAATTCAACTTTGAGTTACATATATTCTCTTCTATTGTTACTATTTATGCCTCCAGTTTTCAAATGCTAATGTAATCTCCTTAGTTTGGGTTTTAGGTCTAAAAATCAATCTTTGTAACCTGTATTTCTTTCACTGCTGATCATACAGGCAGTTTTCACAGCAACTTATGGAACTGTCTTTTATTGGATTTTTCATATTTTTTAAAATGGAAAGTCTTTTGAGTTTATTTGCTGGCTCCATATACCTTATAAGGCACTTTATTACCATGATTAAATGATCTGAAGCACACACACTGCTTTCTCTTGGATTGGAAGGCTGTGATAGCTTTTTAACGTTACCACCCTTGGCTGCTGAAGCTCACTGGGCCAGTCAATTCCTCTCAGGAAAATATCTGAAAGAAGGCAGGATTAGAGAGAGAAAGAGTTGGGGAGGGGGGAGGGAGAGGAAGGAAGGGAAGAAAACTTCATATGAGAAATAGTTATCTGCAGAAACTTGAGTTAACTTCATCCTGTTCATTGACCTCAAATATTTTATTCCCTGAATATTAAGAATTTCCAGACATATACAGGACCAAGAAGCTGGAAGTGTAGTTCTCTGTGTGCTCAGCATAAAAGTTATTCATGAACATGAGAAGGGTGGTGCTGGCAATATACAACTGTATTGTTGACTGTCCTATCTCAAAGAACCGCAGGCACGCATTTGTCACATCTCTCCCAGATTAGAGATACATGTTACCTCTATGTGCAAGAGTACATTAGGTCTCCCCCCACCACAACCCAGAAAAGTCTTGTAAAACTCTATGGGTAAAGAGGAACTGTGTAAACAGAGATGCAACTCCGGTGTATATGTTCTCCACAGACTTTTAAACGCTACAAAATTAGGATTCTGTTGTGGAGGGAGCTCTGTTTTTGCTCAAATGCAGCTCCACTGGAACTAGGGACTGGGATAAATGGGTACAATCCAGATTAAACTCAAATTGTTCAAAATATAATTGAAATGAATGTGCATATACTGATTCCTTTATCATGTCAGCGTTCTTGTGTTCTTGAGATAATTACCATTTTAGGCTAAGGTCTTAAATTTCTTCTCTGATAAACATTTATAAACATATAAATAAAGAAGAGTATGCAAGACTGGCTGCTTAATCATGCTTCAGAGAATGACTCTTGTGCTTGTTCAAAAGAGTAGACCAAGTAGTTGCCAAAATAGCCTCATCTACCATTCTTAGAAGATCAAACCATCAGAATGTCAAACACATGAACAACATTTCACACATAGCAAAGGGAAGACTGGCAGAAGTTATCAATCAAATTTTGAAACCAAATCAGTACACTTTTCTTTGTATCTGACCAATTCTATTTTAAAAGGTATTACCTTTAAAAAGTCATAAAACTGTTGAATTTGGCATTGACCATCGTAGTCACTTCAATGCTTCCTTGCCATGGCTTGATCATAAAAATATTACCTTTCGCAATTCTACCAGCTTTAATTACATGAGGACAGGAAGTTAGAAAAACGACTTAACAAAGCTTGGGATGGGGGTGGCCTTTAAGTGTCAGTATGAATTGTTCTTAAGAAAGCCTGTTAAGAACTGAGAATTTGGAGAGAACAGGATGTTTTTGCCATGTAAAAAATAATCAGATTTCAGAAGAAATTGGTAATTTCTCCAGTTCTTCAACTCCCAGTTTCTTACCCTTAGTAAATGTATGTGCTTGTGTATGCGTGTTCATGTGTGTAATACATACAATATGGCTGCCTATTTTACATTCTAGTACAAATATAGCATTCAGTTGATAACCAATGGATTAAAGAAATAATCAAAACATTTCATTCTTGTTAGTTCTTGTTCCACTTGCAATGAATACTAATTCAGCAAACATGTTGTCATCCTTCTCACTGATGTCCCCATCCTGGTTGGGAATTATGATGTTCCCTAAAAAGTTCTCGAACTGACCATTGTGAGCCTACTCTACTAATCAAGGGAAGTGAGCGGGTATTGCTTTAAAGAAAGAGACAAATGGGAATGCCTAATGGTAGATCCCAAATCTCTTACTGGGGGTGGAATTGTAAATTGGATTCCAAAAACCTTGAAATGCAAGATAGTTTTTATATTATAGATAGCCCTCTTTAGACAAGAATCCTCAGTGGAAACAACAGTATCACTTTGCAGGTTGAAATTTGCACAACTCCACCCACCTACCCTTGGTTACAAAGTTACAAATCTTTTACTGCAAAGATCAGGGACAATGATGGGTCTTGGATATATGTTCCATTTTGGCTGAAACATATAACATTAAAATCCCCACCCAGCAAGTGGATCACACTGAAGCACCTGTGATAGTGATAGACAGTGATCATACTTCTGTACTGAAAGCCCTCAGATTTGGAAAAGTCCCATGGATGGCGCAGTGATGGATCACCGGGTAATTTTGATGGGTTGCCAGATTGGCAGGCAACCCCATATCCTTGCAGCATATGGGTGTGTAGGTGACATTCTCACCCCCATTCTGTACTATCTCACCGGTCCGTATATAAAAGGGAGACCTGCAGGGGGAACAGACTGGGCCATAGTTCCGGTTACTCTGTTTGTTCAGCTCACAGAGTGGAAAGGAAGAATTGCCCTGCCCGTCCATGATACGACAGTTGCAAGCATTGCACATAATGTAGTGTGAATGCAGGGGGAGATTGACTTCTTCTTCCTCCGCCTCTTCCTCCTCTTCTTCCTCTTTGGCTTCCTCAGATTCATCTTTCTTGCAGCAATAATACTAAAGCAGGAGAGGAATATTTTTGTAAGCGCACAAAAAGTTTGTTTCCTAAATAGAACTCTGAGAGTTCAGAATATTGACACACATTAAATTCAGCAATTTTCATATCACGTTATTCAGTATTTGTTGTCTATGGAATTCTGGGAATTGAAGTCCACACAGCTTAAAATTGTCAACTTTCAGACACATTGAGATACATCTGAACTACTGGCTGGATCAAACCAACAGACTTTGTTGCAGAATTTTATTTCCACACTGGCCAGTAGGAAGCCCGCAAGCTGCATCAGAGTTCAAAAGTACTTTCTCCAGCAACTGGTATTGAGGAGCATATTCCTGGGACATCGTAGATAATTTAGTGCCATCATAATTAATAGCCATTGATAATATCTATGAATATGTTCAATATATTTTTTTTGCGAATAACCTTATTTGCTGTGAAGAAACATTAACCCTGTACTTTTCTAGACGACCTTCTAAAGGCCAGACACAATTCGCCACCAGCATGAGGAAGAAGATTCCAAAGATCAGCTGAGGCCCGTGTGGGGCACCAGGCACAGGATGGCCAAAAGGCAGAGAGGAGGGGAAGGTAGGTGAGAGAGTTTGAAGCAGAGGTGAGCACAGCAGGGCAGGAGAAACATGAAGTCCTTGCTTAACAATCATAATTGAGATTATCAGAACTTCTGTCACTAAACAGTAGGATTACGTGATATATTGCCAAATGACTGCTTTGCTTAGAGATGGAAATTCTGGTCCCAGTTAGTGTTGTTAAACGAGGACTGCCTGTAGGTGGGATACCTGTAGCTGTGCTAAGAAGAAAAAGTTTACAGTAGAACAGGAAATTTAAGAAATGGAGTGCATGAGTAACAAGAGCATTGTGTCTACCAACTGGAGAATGCTTTTCATTGAGAGGGCTGATATTGGGCAAGGCTGAAATTTCAGTACCTTAGAGCTTAGAAAGTTGCACATTGAAGCTGAATGGGAAAAGTATAGCAACAGCCTATTCAAGGTGCATGGTAGCAATATCACTTAGATTTATATACCACTTCACAGTGCTTTACAGCCCCCTCTAAGAATCAGCATATTGCCTCCAACAATCTGGGTCTTCATTTTACCGACCTTGGAAGGTTGGACGGATGGTAGACTGCTCTACAGTGTCAGCAAGATTTAGGGGAAGCAAAACAGAACAGTTGTGTGGATGAGGATATCTAAGTGCAGATCCTAAAATAGTGTTGGAGGAGCAGCCCAGCTCAATGCCTATTTTATCTGACATCTAGACATTTTTCTGTTTTTAGTCTTTCACTTTTATCTCATTCCATTTTATCTTTGATTGATTTTTATCTTATTTTATTCCTATATATCAGCTGAACCCAAAACTCTGTCCTTTAGCTTAAAAGTTCTCAGTGCTGTGGGCAAGCAAAAGAGACATAGAACCAGCCCAAGAACACTGAAACCAGCCTAGGCAGCAAAAAACAACTTAAGGTTAATGAGCTCCTCGTGTCAAAGGCTGCTACAGAAAATCTAACCTCCTGGAATCTGATGAATTCAGTGAACATAGCTGTGGTAATCTCCCAACAATCTGATGAAGCACAGAGCTCCTGTTTTTTAAATGAAAATGATACTCTTATGGAATGAAAACTTTCTGAAAAACACTCCGCCTGGTTAGTGTGTTTTGTACTGATGAACCAAATGAAGGTGTAATTGTAAAATCTTCCCAGATTTTCTGGCTAATTATTGTCTTTTAACAGCTCACACTGTTTTAAGTCTATTTGAGGAATAACAGCTATCTCTATTAAAACAGATGACCTAAGGAAAACATTTGATGCTCACATTATTGTATCTTAGTGAATTTTCTTGACAGACTGTCTGACAGCTGCAAACCCCCAAGCCCAGACCCCTCCCCAAAAGATTTTCCCATCACTTATCAACACAATTAGTTCCATCTAGTCTATTAATCTACTATTAATACTATTAATGCAAGAATAGAGGTTCTGGTTATTTTTCTTTAAGCCAACTGCTGCACTGCCAGCCTTATGCTGTTGATCCTATCCATATTAACTGGCTCCTCCATATACATGAAAAGTATCGAATTGTTTTTCAGCAGTTCATTAATTCCATCAGTGCTACTAAAAATGAGGTCCTTTCTGGAATGTTTTGGAATTTATCGTATTTGATTGTTCACTGATTTAATCGTCGAGACCCCTTTTAGACAATGTTACATCAGATCATTCACTCTGAAATGCTACCCAACTTGGACAGTTGTCATACTTTATCTAATCTTATCTCTATCCTTGACAGCAATAGTGTATCTAAACGCTTCATTAAGATGAGGGAAACATTGCTTTGCCCATTTCAAAGTGAACTGATTAACTCTTACAGTGCATTGGCCAAAGAGCTAATTCTCTTTAAAAGTCATGGGCTACCAAACCTAGGAAACAGCAGAGCTTTTTGCTGTTTAAAAGAAGACTTTAATTCTGTCCACACTACAAAACACTAGTCAAAACAACAGAGATGAGACCAAACAGAATTATGACTTTTTTTTTATCTACACCATGCTCTACTGGATGTTCTATCTAATGCCTCTTGAAGCCCTTGAAAAGCAAGACAAACAGCCCACGGCACCCATCAATAGTACAAATATGTCTCTCATTAAGTATGTAAAAAGTACTGGTAATCCACTGCACTTCAGCATGAGGGAATGACACATTTGTCATAGATAGGGCATCCCTCACAGTACAATGAATTGCAACTCCAAACTATTGCCTCAACCTTCAACCTGACTTTTACTGAGAATCTTTCAGGTAACATTCTGTCAGTCCTTCAAGGCTGACCAGACTAGGAATCCAATGTTATGTAGATCAGTAATAGTTTTATCATAAAGCTTGAGTGACAGAATCTTGCAAGATGGAAAGCACTTTCCCCATCCCTCCCTTTATCTTAATTTATTTTGATTACATTCCTAACGTGGAAACAGTCCTCTTTACATAAACATTGTCTTGGTAGCAACAATTTCTCTTGCCCCTCAGGGCCAATCCCTCTGCCCTCTACACATTCATCATCTAATCTGACCTAATGATTCCATCTCCTGGGGGGACACATCATGACACAGGTCCACCTACAATGTTTCTTCCTTTGTCCCAACTCCATCTTGTTACTAGGTTTTAAGATTTCTAGATCTTAAAAGAAGTTACAGTATAAACGGTTAATAAAAAGGGAGAAACAAATCTGGGAACAACATTTCCAAGCCACAAGAGACAAAATCTGTACTGCAGAGAATCAAGGAAATAGATGGAAAATAGGCAAAGAGGACTGAAACATTCCTTAAGGGCTGGAAAATAAGCATTCAGAAGAAACTCAGGCAGAAAGCCCTCCATGATTCACTGGGAAGGTGAAGCAGTCAGGCTTGCAAGATTCTATAATTACAGCCTGTCTCAATTAAGTATCATTCTAGTCTTCCTCTAGAGTCTAGGCTGACCTTTCCTCTCCTTTAGAAGATAATTACAAGCATTTTAGCCAAGATTACAAGCTAAGATTGTAGCAAAGATGGGGGGGACCTTTTATAGCCAATTATGTAGTCCTCAGCTCACCAGTCTTTCATCTTAGTTAAGCACCCCCCCCCCCAATAGTATTCTCCCTTGGCCATCCACTTCCTGGCTGGAAACTCTTGAATCAATCAATAAAAATTTTAAAAAGCCCCTAATAGTGATTTGGTACCTGCTGAATTGTTAAAAACTAATGTTGATTGGTGGACCTTCTGACCTCCTTATACACCCACATCAACAATGCTTTCCATATGCCTAAAGAATGAAATCGTTCTATTACTGTTCCCCTCTTTAAAAAGGGTAATAATATCATGGGCCCATCTAATTATTGTTCTATTAGTTTCCTCAGCATCCCTAGTAAACTAGATGCACACTTTTTATTTCATAAGCTTCTAAACTAGTTAGAATAGGAGAAATTTCTTGCTAGGTTTAGGAATACATGGATATGTCTGCTCTCCTGCAGTTTGGGGCAGAGAAATAAATGCCCACACTCTCTTTATATGTTGCCTTTATTGATCTAAAAGTGAGCATTTGAGTCCATACCTGGAGAAAGGCTGTAATAATCACACTGGACAATACATTTTTTCAAAAGTTTTGCTTCCTGAAAAACTTTTGGTGATTGTGATATACCCCTTCAAATTACATGCAAATATAATTTTAGAATGACTGTATCAAGTAGGAATCTTGAGAAATAGGAAATTAACTTGTAATGAATATAATGTATTTAATCATGTTTCCGACATCCTGCATGAGTTCAAAAGGATAAAAGTGTTTTGCTGCTGAATTTTGTTTGTGTTCCAAAAGCAGCACTTTGTTAACAAACTAGGTTGAATTCCTTGGATTTTAGGGCCTATATATATATATTGGCTTTACTTATGGCTTAATTAATGTCGCCATTTTGTTTTTAACACTTAGGTCCCTAGTTTTAATGTTCTTCTATTCATCTTCACTATATCCCAAAGATGCTTTTTTCACAAGGGAACTGGACTTTCTTGTTTTTCTTTGAAAACGTTTTGCTTTTCATCCAAGAAGCTTCTTTAGTTCTGAAGAAGCTTCTTGGATTAGAAGCGAAACATCTTCAAAGAAAAACAAGAAAGTCCAATTGCCTCGGAGAAAAAGAATCTTTGGGATAACTATGACCTGGATGACTGAGAATCTCCATAAATATCTTCACTATAGTAAATGCCATACGCACTCCTGATGATCTTAAAAATGTTTTAAACACTAAGGCATTTTATTGTTCTTTCTAGATAATATCTATGCTTTCTTTCCTACCTCATGCCTCCCTACACCTTGTTTTTTAAATTCTTTTTACAATTGTTGACTATTCAGTTTGCTGAGATGTCTAAGAACAACAATTAGGTTTATGCCTTAAATAGTATTTTATCTGTGTCCACTATCTTCATATCCATGCATTAAGTTGTGTTGTTATTTTATAGAAGAGAAAGTCTTGTAATTACACCTGAGGAACATGAAGCAAATATGCTTGTTGCATACAATGTTCTATTGTCCTTGAATACAAAATGAACTGTACGTCTCAGACACTGGTAGGAGTCTTACCTGTAGCCTACAATAGCAAAGAACTGCAATGATACAAAATAAGATGACAGTTGCTAGTATTCCCCCAGTGATCACAACAGTTCCTGCTGTCATCCGACCGATTCTCCATCAAATTCTAGAAATGGAGAAAAGATAGGAGATCTAAGCTAATAAAACTAGTTATAAGAATTCAAAATCCCTCCAGCCCTGAGATCCCTTAAACAGAATAGAATAACAGTTTTGGAAGGGACCTTGGAGATCTTCTAGTCCAACCCCCTGCTTAGGCAGGAAACTCTATACCATTTCAGACAAATGGCTGTCCAATCTCTTCCTAATTCTCCTGTTGTTTTTGTAGCCTTATAAACATAAAAAATAATCTAAACAGAATTTTCATAAAGCATCTGGCTTAACTGGTTGGTCAACAGCTGAGTTGATTTTAACCATTAAAACTCTTCAACTAAAAATTAGGGTGATGTTTATTTAGTTGCACAGCTACATATTTTATTGTAAAGAGGAATATTGTTCTCTCTGACAATGAATGAATATATACTGTTCAAAAAAATAAACAGAACACAAACGTATAGGATCCTATACGTTTGTGTTCCCTTTATTTTTGTGAGCAGTATATTTATAATGTATGTTTCCTTCAGTATTTTCAACACTGATCTATCTCTTTCTACCAAAGTAGCATGGCCATTGAGTTGTAAATCAGCATTTCTTTTAAACGGAAATGAAAAAATCAGCACATTGATACTGAGCATTATTTATATCAGTAGTAGGTACTGCATATTCAAGGACAGGGATGAGGAAACTGAATCTGATTCAAGAGCCAGCCATAATCTCTGGGCTGGATGAAAACAGTAGCTAGGCTTCACAAGAGAAAACCCTTCTTTGGAAGGTCCAGCCATACTTCCTTTGTTCAAACTGAGGAGTTCTTCAGAATCCATCTGCTGTTAGAGAGCAGAAAGAGAGTTATCACCCCCAGCTTTCTCCAAAATGGAGGAAGTGTCCCTTATTTTTTACAAAGCAAATAAAGGAAGATTTTTGTCTATCTCCTCTTGCACACAAAAAAGGGATCAACTTGGTTTGTGCAACTTATTTATTTGCGTGGGCAAGTAAAACAAACCGTGACATTTGGACAAGCCAGGGTTTTAATCCAGGAAGCAATTAGCTTTTGCTGTTGGTTTCTTACTTGCATTTACAAACTGAATTAAGATCAAAGGATGCATCAAGTTAAATGTCACTCCTGGTTGTATGAAGCTGGACTCAGAAGCTTCTGAGAAGCCACAAAAAGCAAGAACTCTTCTTTGGTTCAGTTAATTCTAGCAATTTGTATACTCTGGCATATATTCCTTTGAATATAGAGATGCCATGTCAGTATTGGGGACAGCAAACTGATGAAGAAGACAGATCTCTTTTCAAACTATTCCATTTTGTTCTTTCTTCTTTCCATTTTGCAATTTTCACTCAATATATGTTGAGTGAAACATAGAAAACATAGAAACGTAGAAAACTGACAGCAGAAAAAGACCTAGTGGTTCATCGCGTCTACCCTTTAAGTTTCTTTGTTTTTTTTTTTTAAAAAATTGATTTATTATTTTTATTTTTTATTTCATTTTTAATTTTTGTCAGATGATGTACATGTATTTATTTCAAGCATGCTTAAACTCACTTTCTGATGATTGATTCCCTATCTTTGCTGGAAGTTGGTACCAAGCTTCCACTACTCTTTATGTGAATATTAGAAAATATTTATTAGAATATTTTCTAATACTACTTTTGAACTTCCTTCCTGTTAGTTTCAACTTATACCCCCATATTTTTGAAACATGCTTGCATTTCTTCCCTTCTCTCAATTACTTTTTCCCCCTACCTCTGCAAAACATTTCAGTCTGCTAATATCTCCTGTGTTGATGTCATTTTGGTGCATGCTGAGCCATAGTCACATAATGACTTTTCTGCCCATAGATAGACTATGAATTGTATAATATAACTGCAGCAGGCTTATCCCCAGTAAATCCAACTTTTAACAGCAGTTATTAGTGCTTACTTTTATCTGTAGATTTGTTTGTACATTTCTTTCAAATTTTCTGGAAACTCTCAAACAAACATGTTTACACAGAAAGTGAGTTAACCCACATATGAAATAGTTAAAAATACTTACGTTCAGTGAAGGGTATATTGGACCTGCAAAATAAAATAAAGAGGGAAACTGATTAAATTGTTCTCATTCTGCTTCTCAACTCCCTAATTGGTTCAAAACACTTTTTTTTTTCATTCCTAATACAAATTTGCAATATTCCCAGTGGACATACTGTAATTTGTTCTATCTCAGTCATATAATCTTATAACTTTAGCTAGGCATGAAGCCTGATGCATGAATGCATGAACTACATATTTATTCACATCTTTTTTGGTCTGAAAATCTGTCTATTTGTCTGGAATCGGCACCACTGATTATTGTGATGTTTATTGTCTTCTACCAAATATTCTTCCCTCCTGGTTATTCAGAGAAAACTCTCGGTAATATTAAACATAGAATGTATAAATTGTCACTCTACACTATTTATTAATGGGGATGAGAAGTCATAGCAGAGAGATAAAAAGCAATCCATTTAATTTGAGGGAGGAAATAAATGCATCTCCCCTTACCTGGGAATAAACATAATAATGCAAGATATTTCATATTTTTTTCGCAGGAATAAAAAGAGACAGATCAGGATTTCTGGGGAAGGTATGGTAAACAGAAGATATCCCCATGAAAGTAGAGTTGGCAACTGCAGCAAAGACCAAGGAATTAGTGAGTAAATCATTTCTTGGAAACTCTCTAGATAAGGAAAGGACAGGAGATTGGCACATGTGCTCCAAAAAGCTGCTCCTTGCAAGGAGACCACAGGGCATGGGTTGTTTGCCAACTTGAGCACCAGGAGACAAAAATATCAGCCATCTTGCTCACAACTGCAGAGAAGCCTTTTTTAAGCATCCTAAGTTCACAAACTTTACTTTCAAATCATTTTTGGAAATTGTCTATTAACCATCTTAAAACTACTAAAGACCTTAGGTATGACAAGTTTAAAAAGTCATAAATTGAACTTTATTGTCAACTCTGAACAATGAATTATAAACTTAAGAACTCAAATAATTTAAAAGAAATAACAAAATGCTAAATAAGATTTTGCTCTAAGAAAATTATAAATGAATTAATGGTCCAGATAAACTTGAAATATAGACTTTTATTACAAGATTTTGGAATGAATTATAAAAAATAAATAGCTTCTTTTGGGAAACAGGCATATTTTGGCTACTTTGGCTACTACAAGTCATAACAAAAATAAGTTATTTTATGATTTATGAAACTGGATACTAGAGGGGAACAAAGATTCTAAGCAAAAGGGAAAAAACCACAGTCTGATTTTTGATGTCAGTTAATACTGAGACTTACAAAATGATACAACACATTATTAATATTGGCAACATTAAAGGAGATCTTTGAAAAATGGAGCCAGAAATAACTACAATATCAACACTGTCAGTATGATGTCTGCTTCTACGGATAAATTGTGTCCCAAAGATGTCAGTGAAGGAATGACAGATGTGGAACAAATTTCAACAATTCTGATAAGACAAGAGAAAATACAGAAAGTGGAACAACAAATGATGAGCTGAGAGAATGGTTTGCAAAAAGAGCCTTCAGTGGATATACAAAAGAAATTGGATGAACTTTTAAAAATTAAAAAAGGAAATGGAAATGATAAACCAAGAGAATGATCTGTTAAATTTTTCTTATTGGATCCACAAAATAAACTTATTAAAGTTTTGAAGGAATTTAATGGAAGAGAAATGAATTGTTATTCCAATAGTTGATTGAATTAAAAATTAAGACTGTTAGAAGTAAAATAAAAAAAATATTTATTTGATCAAGATTAAAATAAAACTTTTTTTCAAAAATTCTGACAATTCTTTATGGATTTTTTTTTGTTGAAACCAGGATTGAAAAAAATAATGTTTTATGGATTTATACTATTTTTTAGAGAATGTTTGTTGTGGGTGTGAGTATGCATGTAGATGAATGTAGATGAATGGTGGCCCTGTTATATATAAATTTATTATTGTATTTAGGGCGTATGAATGCGAACATTTTTACTTTTTATGTATATAAATTGAGTGTGAATGTGTATTGAGTGTTTGGGGTATGAGAATGGTGGAGTCGGGGGTGGAGCCTGGTACCCCTCTGCTGAGTGCAATAGCAAAAGTAGGGGGGGCAGGACTTACCCTTGGGCTTGGTTTGTATGGAAAGCGAGTCCGGTCAGGAAGGGAGAAGGCTGGTGAGGGTGGGGGTATTCCGGGGAGGGGAGAAGGTCGGAGCATCCCGGTCATGACTGGGATGGGCAGATATGGCGGGAGCCGAGGGGCAGGCCATCTTTGGGGAACGAGGACTCGCTATGTTAGAGCGATTCCTTGTTCCGGCCCCTCAAAAGGCTCATCCTGTAGTACTGGTGACAGGGGAGTACAGGGCCCTAATTGTAGGCTGCTGTTGCTTAATGCCAGGTCCGTTGTCAGCAAAGCCCCCCTTGTCCGTGATTTAATATTGGACAGCGGGGCGGACCTGGCATGTATAACCGAAACCTGGCTGGGCCCTGAGGGGGGTGTTTCCCTCTCGGAGATGTGCCCGGACGGGTTTGTGGTGCTTCATCAGCCTCGACATCAGGGCAGGGGTGGGGGAGTGGCAGTCATCGCTCGGAAGTCCTTGAGCCCTTGTGGGATTCCTGCCCCGGAGGTTGTTGGGTGTGAGTCCCTCCTATTGAAGTTGGGTTCACGGGTTCAGTTGGGCTTGCTGCTGACGTACCTACCTCCCAGCTGCGTTGCAACAGCCCTGCCTGCGTTGCTGGAGTCAGTAGCCAGGTTGGCGGTGGAGTTCCCCAGACTTATAGTACTGGGGGACTTTAACCTGCCATCACTCGGCGATCGCTCAGAGGCGGCGCAGGAGTTCATGGCTTCCATGGCAACCATGGACCTGACCCAGGTAATTCAGGATCCAACTCATAGGGGTGGTCACACACTCAACCTTGTGTTTCTCTCGGGGCAATGGAGACATGATCTGGAATTAAGGGGAATAGAGATCTCGCCCTTGTCATGGACAGATCATTTCCTATTGAGGCTGGACTTCAGAGCATCACTCCCCCATCGCAGGGAGATGGAGCCGACTAGGTGGTTCCGCCCCAGGCGCCTAATGGACCCAGATCGGTTCCAGGAGGAGCTTGGGGAAATACCTGACTCCCTTGTCCACAACTCGTCCAGGTCCCTGGTTGCGGCCTGGAATGAGGCGGCGTCCGGGGCCCTGGATCGAATTGCGCCTTTGCGACCTCTCTGTGGTGGTGGTCCCCGGAGGGCGCCTTGGTTTACTGAGGAGCTCCGGGAGATGAAGCGCCACAAGAGACGTCTAGAGCGACGTTGGAGGGCCAGTAACTCTGAATCTGACCGATCACTATTAAGAGCCTATCTTAGGACTTATTTAGTGGTGATAAGGGCGGCAAAGCGTGTTCACTTTTCCGCACTTATTGCGTCCGCAGAATCTCGCCTGGCCGCCTTGTTTAGGGTGACCCGCTCCCTTCTTAAAGTGGAGGAGGCGGAGGAACCCTTGCAGGGGACAGCTGAGGAGTTTGTTCAGTTTCTGTCGGACAAAATCGCTCAGATTCAGAGAGACCTGGACTCCGACTGGACAGTACCAGCCGAGTTGCCAGGGGCTGGTCTTAGTCATGTTATCTGGAGCGAGTTTGAGCCTGTGACCCCTGATGAAGTGGACAAGGCCATGAGGGCAATGAATGCCACCACCTGTTTATTGGACCCGTGCCCCTCCTGGCTGGTTTCTGCCAGTAGGGAGGTGACACGAGGCTGGCTCCAGGCGATAATCAACGCCTCCTTGATGGAGGGGTCTTTCCCGCAACCTTTAAAGGAAGCGGTGGTGAGGCCCCTCCTCAAGAAGCCTTCCCTGGACCCAGCTGTTTTGAAGAACTTTCGTCCCGTCTCCAACCTCCCCTTTGTGGGGAAGGTTGTAGAGAAGGTGGTGGCGTCTCAACTCTTGCGATCCTTGGATGAAACCAGTTATCTGGACCCTTTTCAATCTGGTTTCAGGCCCGGCTACAGCACTGAGACTGCTTTGGTCGCACTGACCGATGACCTCTGGCGAGCCTGGGATAGGGGTCATTCCTCTATCCTGGTGCTTCTTGACCTCTCAGCGGCTTTCGATACCATCGATCATGGTATCCTTCTGCATCGTCTTGGAGAGGTGGGGGTGGGCGGCACCGTATTGCGGTGGTTCTCCTCCTACCTCTCTGACAGGTCGCAGTCGGTGTTGGCGGGCAGACAGAGATCGACCCCTAGGCGCCTTGATTATGGGGTGCCTCAGGGCTCGGTCCTGTCCCCCCTCCTTTTTAACATCTACATGAAACCGCTGGGTGAGATCATTCGGCGACACAGGGTGAGGTATCATCAGTACGCGGATGATACCCAATTGTATATCTCCACCCCGTGTCCTTTCAGTGAAGCAGTCGACGTGATGTGCCGGTGCCTGGAAGATGTGAGGGTCTGGATGGGGGTGAACAGGCTTAGACTCAACCCTGACAAGACCGAGTGGCTCTGGGTCTTGCCTCCCAAAGGCCAACTGGATGGTCCATCTTTAGTCCTGGGGGGGGCAAATTTACCTCCCTCAGTGCAGGCACGCAACTTGGGTGTCCTCCTGGACTCACAGCTAAATCTGGAACAACATCTATCGGCTGTGGCCAGGGGGACCTTTGCACAGGTTCGCCTAGTGCACCAGTTGCGGCCTTATTTGGACCAGGAGGCTTTACTCACAGTCACTCATGCCCTTGTCACCTCAAGACTGGATTACTGTAACGCGCTCTACATGGGGCTACCCTTGAAGGGCGTTCGGAGGCTGCAGTTGGTTCACGTGTCACCTATCCTCCGCGAGCTGCACTGGCTTCCTGTGCGTCTCCGGACGCAATTCAAGGTGTTGGTTATCACCTTCAAAGCCCTTCATGGCATAGGGCCAGGTTACTTACAGGACCGCATTCTGCCGCACAGCTCCCAGAGACCGGTGAGGTCCCATAGATTGGGCCTCCTTCAGGTCCCATCGGCCAGACAATATCGGCTGGCGGGCGCTCGGGGAAGGGCCTTTTCTGTGGTGG